GCATATACATTGTATCAAACTAATTTTGATTGTATTCATGATCACTCAATTACTTCTTACATAAGTTGTATAACATTAGAAAATGTATATGCATGTGTACATTAATGATTAAAAACTGAGAGAATCCTCCCCTAGTCTTTTTTAATATGCATCCAACATGCTTGGCTTTTTCTTTTTGGAGTAAGTGCTTCTTTGGATTTGATTTATTTGATTTCTATTTTAAAAATTTAGCCACCCCACTCTTCCTAATTATTGTATCATGTCCAATAGTCAAAATTCCAAAAGATTCTATTACACTAGTATCATGCAACTTAGCTTACATATTTTATTTACAATTGTATATTTGTCACCCCATATCTGGTTGCTCTAATTTGTTTAAAGGGACACATGCACGGAAGCACGTCATCTTGAAAAACTGGCCCGTTTTTCAAGATGACATCATTAATGATGACGTTTAGTGTTGATAACTATTCATAACGTGCGGCCGCGCCCCTAATAATTAAGGCAAAATGGCTACTCGAGTGGCTACTTGTAAATATTCCTGGTGTTTCTTCACTAAAAAGAGTATCTTGGGGTGGCAAAAGAGCTAATTCTGTTCGAGAGAAGTGTTCTACAGATGCCTACTCCCGGTTCTGCGACTGATTGCTGTCTCTACTCTCTACGCGTGTCTAAACACGTGTCATAACTATTAATTAATGATCTGTTGCACGCCCAATTTAATGTTTACTTCCTCTACAGTAACGTGTGCATTCTATTTCCGTGAACGTGTCCCTTTAAGCTTCCTCTAATTGTTTATATATTCTTAATATTCTTAATATTCTTAATATTCTTAATATTCTTATCTACACATTATTACTTAGTACTCTGATCGTACCAATCCAATGGATAAACATGTTGAAGTTTTATCTGAAGTTAGTGGAATAGCTTCGTCTCCGTTAACTCCTCAAATATTTGCATCAGCTGGACAGGAGCACATGGACAAATATGGTAATGAGCTGTAGAAATAATAAACTGAATAATTGAATTAAAAATCAACCAATAATAATAAATTACCTAATTAATGGAGACGAGCATGAACAAGCCTCATGTACTAATCTGGTTATTTGGTACTGGTATGTACATCTTTATTGTTATAAACAAATGAAAAATAATTAAAATGATTTTTAGTTAGAACTATTAATTATTGAATGAGTTTACATGTACACGTATACATTTTGTACACATAAATTACATTTAATCCCATTTTATTAATGTTTTGTTATTCTTCTCATTAAAGGTACAAAGCCTGAACATTTTGCTAAGATTGCCGAGAAGAATCACCGTCACTCCGTCAATAACCCGTGAGTGGGCGTTACCTTGTAATGACATCATTCATTGGCTAATGTGATTGTATAGGAACTCTCAGTTTCGTGATGAGTACACTTTACAAGATATTCTCAAGTCGAAGATGGTACACGAGCCATTGACTAAACTACAATGCTGGTGAGTGAATGAGAAAGAAAGAGCTAAGGAAGTAGAGGGATTGAGTTTAGTAATACTGAAAACTACATCACAATACATGTACATGTACATGTAGGCAACTTCCTTTTGTTCCACTTCTCTAACTCTTACTCTCTTTCATATCTTTGTTTAACATGTACATGTACCTTCTTACTTCTTATTTCACCTTTTTACGTTTCTTTTTACATTATGTCTTTTTTCTACCTCTTTCTTTTCCTCCCCCTCTCTCTCTCTCTCCCTCTCTCCCTCCCTCTCTCTCTCTCCCCCTCCCTCTCTCTCTCCCTCTCTCTCTCTTTCTCCCTCCCTCTCCCTCCCTCTCTCTCTCCCTCTCTCTCCCTCCCCCCCTCTCTCTCTCTCTCTCTCTCTCTCTCTCACGCTCTCCTCTCTCAGTCCCACATCAGACGGCAGTGCTGCTGCTATAGTTTGTAGTGAAAGCTTTGTCCGTAGACACAACCTTCAGTCTAAAGCTGTTGAGATTGTAGCCATGACAATGAGAACAGACTTCCCTAGCACCTTTAAAGAGAAGAGCGGAATGAAACTGGTACGGGAAAGACCGTGAGACACACTTATGTATTTTAAAACAAAATATCCTAGTACTATAATAACACATGTACATACATGTACATTTATTTTTGAGGAACTTTGGAAATTTGTAAAAAATCTAATTTTGATCGGAACCAGCTTAAACTTTCTACGCAACATAAAGACATGTATATGCATCAGAAAAAATTATTAAAATGCAAAATTTTTGTCTTGCCATTTTTTGCAAAATTTGGCCAAGAACCCTGTACTATAGTACAGGGACTTTGGCCCGATTTTGGAGCAACTTTAAAAATTCGTAAAAAAATCCAATTTTGATCGGAACCAGCTCAAACTTTCTACACAACATAAAAACATGTATATACATCAGGAAAAATTATTAAAATGCAAAATTTTTGTCTTGCCACTTTTGGCAAAATTTGGCCAAGAACCCTGTGCTATACTACAGGGACTTTGGCCCGATTTTGGAGCAACTTTAAAAATTCGTAAAAAATCCAATTTTGATTGGAACCAGCTCAAAATTTCTACGCAACATAAGGACATGTATATGCATCATAAAAATGGAAAATTCTCACCTTGCCATTTTTGGCAAAATTTGGCCAAGAACCCTTTACTATAGTACAGTGTAGGAGGGAACTGAGTCCTTAAATAAACATTTTTACAAAATAGATACAACACAAGGAAACATAATAGGTTAACAAATGAGATAATAATAACGGAAATAAGTGATAGAAAAATAATAAGATAAGATAAAAGAATAGGTTAGGTTAGGGTGAGACGAGCTTCTGAGATAGCTCTGCAGAAATCGTTTGAGTCTAATGATCTCATTCTGGAGCGTGGTCCTCATAAGTACAGGGACTTTAGCCCAATTTTCGAGCAACTTTAAAAATTCGTAAAAAAATCCAATTTTGATCGGAACCAGCTCAAAATTTCTACCCAACATAAGGACATGTATATGTATCAGGAAAAATTATAAAAATGGAAAATTCTCACCTCGCCATTTTTGGCAAAAATTTGGCCAAGAACCCTGTACTACAGTACAGGGACTTTAGCCAAATTTTGGAGCAACTTTAAAAATTTATAAAAAATCTAATTTTGATTGAAACCAGCTCAAACTTTCTACGCAACCTAAGGACATGTATACGTATTAGGAAAAATAAATAAAATGGAAAATTCTCACCTTGCCATTTTTGGCAAAATTTGGCCAAGAACCCTGTACTATATATAGTACAGGGACTTTGACTTCAAACCACTACATGTAGTTCAAATTCACATAAATTTTACATACAATGTACATTGAAGTTGATTTTTATAATTAATAATTAGGTTGGATACGACATGACAAAGGCAGCTGCCGAGGAGATATACAGGAAGACCGGGTACCGCCCTCAAGATATTGATGTGATTGAACTACACGACTGCTTCTCTTGCAATGAATTAATCACCTATGAAGCACTGGGACTATGCCCACCAGGTAAGGAGAGGGAGGGGGCAGGAAAAGGAATACACATACAATATACTGGACCTTATAAAAATTATAATACAAATACAAACTCTATTAGAATCTGCTCAAACTTACTATTAAACTTGATGATAATCAGCTAAGACATAAATCACATAATGTGTATGTACAATTGTACATGTAAATACACATGACATTAGAGCTTCAATATGTTTCAATAACAATTTACATGTTGTGTTTTCAGAACTATTGTTGGTATAATAGCCCACTTTTATTTTCAAAAAGGGCTGCTATCTACAGGTGCATATACATGTACATGTACATATAATGTAGTAGTTACACATGTACAAGATTTACAATTGGAACGACTTAACAATTTTGCATGGCAATATAATGAAAATTGAGGAGCTGGATTTTCAAAAACAAAGTTGTTTACAAGTACATGTACACCAGTAATAATACTTACTAATGTTATATAATGTCCACAGGTAAAGCAGGTGAGATGATAGATCGTGGTGATAATACATACGGCGGTAAATACGTCATTAATCCTAGTGGAGGACTTATATCAAAAGGACATCCCCTGGGGGCTACCGGTCTAGCCCAGTGTGCTGAACTCTGCTGGCAGTTGAGGGGGGCAGCAGGAAAGAGACAAGTGGCATCAGCTAAAGTAGCTCTCCAGCATAACCTCGGACTAGGAGGAGCTGTTGTTGTTACTTTGTATAGGCTGGGGTTCCCACAGCAAGCTAACAGGTTTGAACATGAATTGGTATAATGTACATGTACATGTATTGTATAAACTTTGGGTGCATGTACATGTATGTGTATGTGTTTCAGTATTTACATGTAAGTGCAATGTGTGGTATGTACATGTACATGTACAAAAAGTGAAGCATTTTTCTAATTTGTAAAATACATTTATATTTCTCGGTGTACATGTATACATGTACAATTGTACATGTACATACATGTCTATCCTAATCTACTAATTAATCTGTGGTAGTGTCATGTGATCTGACAGTTGTTGTGATAGTGATAGACTGACAGGAAGTAGTTCTATAGTGTTGAATTATTAACCCTTTGCTACCTTTAAGGGGTGTTGCTTGTAATATTCCTTCTCAAATTTCGCAAGCTTGTCCCTCTCAATTTTGAATTAGAACAACCTTAAAGCTAAACTATCTTTTTAAGGTACTATACATGTACATGTACATGTGAATGAGTACTGCTAGAGGCTATGGATTATGCATGTATGTACATGTACGTTATTATTAGTATTTCTTTAGGAGTAATATTAAGACAACAGTCAGTTCAAGTACAACAGGAGCAACAATGAAGTGTACACCTTTTTTTGATGAAGTAGAAACAAGAATGAAAACTGTAAGTACTGGGCGACAACACTAATGAGCTACTATACTAACATTCCCCTAACACTTAACCCTTTCTCTCTCACTGGCTCATTCACTCTCTTTCCCTCTGTGACTGTCCCTTCACTTTTCTTTTTCTCTTCTTTTCTCCCTCTTTCTGTCTCCCATAGGAAGGTAGTAGTATGGTGAAGAAGATAAAAGGTAGTTTCTTGTTCAAGATAACTGGTGGTGATGGTAAAGTCCATGAGTGGCTTGTAGACCTAAAGTCTGGGAGCGGATCAGTCACCAAAGGAACTGGTATGAACATAATTGTATTTAATGATTTGTACTTTGTAGACAAATTGTAGTTGTAAAAATATAATAGTAATAGTAAATGCCATACTTGTAGTTACAATTATACATGTAGTACTACAACAACATAACTGAGTTGTAATGAAGTAAAGCAATGTTTTATGTTAGGGTGGTTAATGCATACATGTACATGGGATTTATTTGGCAAAATTAGCTAAATTAAAAATTACAATGTATGCACAAGGTTATTATTATTGATATTATTATTAAGGTTTGAAGGGTGACTGTACTATTATAATGAAAGATGGCGATTTCATGGACATGATAACTGGAAAAATAGGAGCACAAAAAGTACGTCACGATATAGTGTACTTGTGAAATAATATTTTACAAATTTTTAATGCATTCTCCATTTTTTAAAAACTTTAAAAATTTATTTAAAAATCCAAATTTTATCAGAATCAGCTTCAAATTGATACTCAGCATGAGGACATGTATATGTATCAAAAAATATATAAAAATTAAGAATTCTTTCATAACCATTTTTGATGAACTTTGGCCTTAGACCAAAGACTATAATAGCCTTTGGTTCTTGGCTTGATTTTTGAGCAACTTTAAAAATTCATAAAAAATTAAAATTTTATTAGAATCAGCTCAAAGTTGATACACAGCATAAGGTCATGTACATGTATATGTATCAGATAAAATTATATAAACAAGGAATTATTCCTTGAGAGTTTTGTCAAAATACCCTTTACTATACAGGGTTTTTGGACTAATTTTTTAACAATTTGACAATCTACTGACTAGAAGCTGCATGAGCACTATTCCAAAATCTTGTTGGAAACCCTGAATATGATAAGAAAAACTCCTTTCTTTTAGGCATTCTTTTCTGGTAAACTCAAGATAACTGGCAACACTGGACTGGCCATGAAACTGCAAAGTATCATGCCTGAGAAGCCAAAGTCTAAACTGTGATGACTTTTAAGAATTTATAGTGCTATAGTATTGTCATTGTACATGTATTTAATTGAATTACCCATTTATGCAGTTTTAACAACTATTGCATTGCGTGCAGTGCACAAGTATTGCACATTGTGTTTGATAGTCTATTGATGCATTATGTTAAAACATGAGCTATGCAACTAAAAAAACTGCTAAAAACACTACAATAGGTTCACTACAAATATATAGTTTCATCACACAGTGGCACACACTCAAAATTACATCATACTAATTAAGATAAGAAGTCTATCGTACAATGCACTTTCTCTTCAGTTTCATCGTTTTTTCCTTGGAAGTATAACTCTGGTCCCCCAATATGAAACTTTAATGTAATAGTGCGGCTTGCTAGTGGTAGAGTAGATGGTGGCACAGCTAGTTCTAATTTTCCAATTTCCTCAACTCCTTCACAAAGTTCGCCATTCGGATTTCTAATATACACAACATCATCTTTGTAAGTCTTAAAAAGTTTTAGTTCCACTTTGTCACTTTTCTCACTCAAAGGAGTAGCATATGACGGAAACTCTAGGACTTCATCGTAACGAACTTTTTGATATTTTTCTACAATTACTTCAAATGCATTGTCGGTGACAGTGCAATTACGCTGAAGGTCATATCTTTTTCGTCTACGATCATGATTTTTTTCTGGTTTGTATTTTACGGTTGCTTCTATACCATAGTAGGCACTGCTCACTCGGCTATTCATGGTTTTAGGATTCTGCTGAAAAAGAATGGCTCCTTTAACAACAGCAACATGATAATCTCTTGGAGTTAGGACACACAGATTGAAAAATTTATCAAATTCTTTAATTTTGTTGTATATGTATGGACACCCACCAAATCCTCCAACTAGATACACTGTGTTAATGGCAACAGGACTCTTTGTAATGGCAGTGTCTATGCAATCAAGAATTCCTTTGACTGCTGGTGCAAACAGCTCTTCAACTTTAGAAAACTGAATCACAAGAAGATCACTACCATTTAATTGTATTCTAGCGTCGTTAAGTGCTGCTACTCCTTCCCTTATTTTCTCTGAACCATAGAAATCAACAATCTTACGATTTAATCGTGATGTAATTCTTCTGTCCATTCTTGTGTTCTTACCAAATGAAACTTTAGCAAACTCAAAATCATGGTAAATGTGTGTCGTGATTACAGCTTGATTTTGAGCTTCCTGTTGGGGCATTTCGCAGAAGCATTTAAATTCAGGATCTCCAACAATTTTTTGGAGAAGTTTTGAATATTCTTCATTAACCCTTGTTCCTCCCCAGTCATTGCCAGTGGGTGGAAGAACTGATTCAAATATATCTTTGGATTGACTATTGTAGACTGCAATATCAACTGTACCACCTCCAATATCAAGTACCATGTAATCAGAAGAGTGATCTATAACTTGATTCTGGAGCCGCCTGGAATGGTTTGCCATTTCATCAATTGACAGTTGTCGACAATAAAGAGCAGCACATTCTGGTTCCAATGCTAAAACAAGCTTATGATAATATTCATTCATGTCGACTTTTTCTAGTTGTTGAGTGACTGGAGTGAAACAAGTGATTGGAGTCATCACTGTGTTTTCAATGACCAGCCCAGCCTATGTGAAGGATGATTCAATAAGCAATATGCATAAAATAGCTTACCCTGTAGGCAGCTTCTCTCATCATCTGTTTTCCTTTTTCATTCCATATTGCAGGAACAGTGATTACCCAGGTGAAGTCAAATGCTTTCAGTAACCTGGGCTCAGCATTTTCACTTTCTTGTTGAACCATATGATTACGCATCTCTAACTCTTCTTCAAGTTTGGACTTAAGATAATTCAAAACAAAAGCAATAACTTCTATGAGGTAATAACTTGCTCCCTTGAATGCTGAAATTTTCATCTGCCTTGTTATCACCTATTGTTAAAATTGTTTTAAAAGTAGGCTAGTCGTACTAAGGTTAACACACCAATTACAATTATATATAAGCCAGCAAAGAATGTTTTAGCAAATTTAATTTAACTGTTGTAGTCCAGCATGCATGCACGGTATGGTACCATACTACACGGGGGTGGGTGACAACTGCATGCAGGGTGGTAGTCTCGCGTGGCCAGACCCATCCCCTTTTGGACACCGTCCAAATGTCAAAAAGGGTGATGGCTGATGGGTCTGGCCACGTGAGACTAGCAGGGCAGCTGGATGCACATACTGAAATGTCAAAAATTTACCAGAAATAAAGTGATTTTAAATGAAGCAAACAAAATAAGGCACTAAATAAGGCGCTAACACATGATGTCACTCAACTATCCCCACGGGCTTGGCATTCTAAGCACGAGGAAATCACGTATTATAATAGTTACGAACTTACGTCTTCGTGTGGCCTCAAGTTCATTTTGAAGCACTCAAAATATAAGTGCATGGAGTACTCTTCTTTTGGTAAGTTTCCATATGCCTGTTGAGCTACTTTTCCGATATCAACGACAGCCATGGGCATGGAATAATTTATTAAAGAACCACGGAAACTCGTTTTGTCTTCGGGCTCTATTAATACTGCCGTGGGTACACGGTCAAGCGACTCACTTGATGGATACAGGATACTGGTCGTTCCATCAACTGAGTAAGCCAGCGAGCAGTTTGATGTTCCAAAATCAATAGCAGCAATATAATTAGCTCTTTTTAAATTTAGGCTAGACATCTCGATGTACTCAGTGGTGTATGTAGCCATCTCTCGGATTGTCAGACGTCTGCTGCTGCCATAGATATTAGAGTACCGGAACTGTACTCTAATATCTATGCTGCTGCAGATATGATTGGTTAGAACATCATGCATGCATTCGTGTATGCATTCCGCGGGCAGTAGGCTGGGCCGTCCGCATCTTGTAAACAGTATCTTTAACAGTACTTTACTGCGGAGAAACGGCAGAGTCAACTAAACAAGGAAATGTCTGATAAGTAAGCACATGAGCCCTGATGGCCCGGCCATGCCGGAAGGGGAGCCTATAATCAGTCTTAAACCTATTTCATACTAGGTCTTATATTGAGAAGTTAGAAGAAGAAAACAAATATTTAAAAAGGTAGACTCTTTTACAGGTGGGCTGGTACATGCCGGCACGGGTGATGCTGCATATGCATCAATTTAAGTTGCATGCATGTGAATAACTTTAGTTAGTCGTTGAAGCATGCATTTTTAAGAATGCTATTAAAGCTGATTCTTTCATTTCGGCTATCTTAGGGATCTCCTAAAGTTATTGGCCCCAGGAAATAGTGGGTGGGCGTGCAGGAAATGACTCACGCATTGCTTTGAATTAGCTTAGGTGTCCCTAGTTAGCTATGTCCCCTACTTATGTTAGGAGTCCCCTAGTTAGCTATTGTTTTAGGGTTGGGGTTAGGGTTTAGTTTTTTTTATTTTAGAGCATTTCCTAGGTGTTAGAAGTCCCTACTACTGCTTCTTTTCAGTCGCCATCTTTTCCAATCATGTGACGTCATTTCCTGACACACCCACCCACTATTTCCTGGGGGCTGGTAACTATAGGTGATCCGTGGGCTCAGTTCTCAGTGGTACCGTATATGATGCCGGTGCGCTGCAACTTTGCCTGCCGGAATTCAAGTTTTGATTCTGAATGTATGAACATGATGCTTCTATGGGGGAGGGGGGAAATGATTATCATAGCCTAGTATGTGCATAGTTTTATAGTGATAACAATAATTGCAAGAGATTCATAGTGACAATAACATCCCCCTTATATCAACCATGTACATAGTGTGAATTGCAACTCAACCATTTCAGCGATCATTATGAGCTGAACTGAATTACTGATGGCTTAATTTGTAATCATTTCAGTTGTCTAATCAATAATGTAGCTAATCAGTACAAATTATTACATTACTTTTGAATAAATTTTTAAGAATGCTAAAGCTTAGTGATCTTTCAAAGTTGGGCAGCATGTGCTTATAGCGTTATGTTAAAGTTTCTTATAGCTGTACCTAACTGAACATGACACTTATGCATGTGCATGCATGCTGCAGGTGGGAAAAGCTATGAATCAAATTGCAGTTGCATATTGGTGTATAATATTATCTCAAGTTGTCTTATATATTGTACAGTTTATTACAGAAAAAGTGCTTTGTATATGAAGGAAAAGAATTTTTGTTAATATCTGAATTTGAAAGCAAAAAGTATATCTGCATGCATCACATTTGTAGCCTAAGTTTTGCTATTATAATTGCTATAGGCAGAATAAAATTGAAATTGAAGATGATATTGCTGCTTTAGATGTACAAGAACAGTTTGCTAGATATTTTGAAGATGTTGAGATCAAACTTTCAGGGGTAGAAAAGTTAAAATTGTTTCAAATATACTGCAACTTATTTCAGGTATTTATTAATGACTGCCAATTAAGATTTGTAATTTTTCAGATATCATTTGATTTTTGCCGTAATGCTTTTCTTGAAAAACTCAAGGCACTACTATTTGCTTTGACTGAATTGACTGATGAAGAGAAGAAAAGAAGTAAAACAGATATAAAGAGAAAGAAAAATTTAGCAGATGTCAGTAAAGCTTATCAATTTCTTGTGAGACATTCTTCAGCAGAGCTGAGAAGTATTGATTACTCTGTAATTGAAAAAGTATATTTGACCTTATGCATTGTATAGCTTTTACTTTATTATAAAAATAGGTCAAAAGCTTTTTCTCTGTTAGACATGATAAAGATGTTATACCGGAAATTGATGATGCGATTGTTGAAGCAGTTAAACTCAGTTGGAAGATGCAAATGCTACCTACACCAATGTTTGTCTGTCAACCTGAAGTTTTTAATGAACATTGGCACGAGACCCACTATGACTCATGGGATGATGATAGCACTAACGACTTAGTGTACTATAGACCAGTACTGATGAACAGTGTTGGAGGATCAATTGCTTACAAAGGTCTAGTTGGTAATGATGGTCTAGGCACAAATATTCTGACAAAGGAAAGTAAGTGGGAATATTATTCTAAATAATTTTATATCATAGTGAATTATAGCAACAGTAAGGAAGAAAAATTTGCCAAAAAAATCAAATATTATTATTTATCAAGGATCCTGTAATCAGCAGGTAGGCTCTGCTAAGTAATTGTGATGTTATTGTTACTTAAACAGGATATACGGTTATGTCTTACACAAGGCTTTATACAAAAGAAAACTATTTTTTGTGCCCGTTGTGGCAACATTCTGTTGAAAAATCAAGCCTGCATTGGAAAAGATATTAAGTTTTTACACGAAGAATGTTTTGTTACTATTATCAAGAAAGGATCTGTAAAGGACTTTTGATGAGAGTACTCTTTTTTGTTATTAATTATTTTTACTATTACAATATGGCCTAGTGGCATAATTTACATTTAAGATTTCAGTGAATTTTTTAGCAGATACCTGTCATGTTTTTGTGTAGGCCTGGCATGAAGATGCTCATTGCAGATCTAAGAATTCTTGTTTACACCTATACAAGTGACAAATCATGTGTTGACTACAATGCAATGTGATAGTTCTTGGAATGCATTCATATACACTCAGTGTTAATGAAGACCCATAGAGACAAACATGCATGCATATTTATGCTTGTAGATCTACATCTGTTTAGCTCACCTTTCACCATCTCCAATTTAAGCTATAATTATTGTATAGAAGGTGATTGAAATCACTAAAAAATTCAACACACTATTGACTACAGGTATATAATAATATGTACAGTACAGTATGACACAATTTTCGAGTAGTAGGAGTTTACTATATTATTGTAAATAGTGATTGGCTGTTTTTTCATATTCCCCTTTCCGGTAGGAGGAGCCAATTAATTCTGCCGGTCGTCGCCTGTGTAGAAACGGCAATGCCATCGTCTTGGTGGGAGTACTTGACTTTTTGGCCCAGGTATTTCTATAGACCTTGGTGGCAATACTTGTCTTTTTGGCCCAGGTATTTCTTTAGAGCTTGGAGGCCGACAGCTGTGACAGAGTAAGTCGATTAGGCCATTAATTTTCATTTTGCTATGCCACATTCCACAAAATAAAGTTCTCACATAACTAGCCAGTACTCCATAGGCTATGCGCCACTAATAAAGTTCAGGCTACTAATGACTAAAATTAAGCCATTAATACATTTAAATAGATGTACTACATAAGTCGGGAAAGCCCTTCCTGCTAAAAAAAAGTTGACCTATTATATAGATGCAGTGCAAAATAGTAAAAATTAATTCAAAATTGTCAATCAAAGTGTTTTAAAGTTAATTTTTGTTTAATTTGTTAGATATTTTTTTGAATGACTGCCTACAGACATGTTCTAGTAGCATAGATATTAGAGTATAATGGCTAACTATGGTAACAGTTGTCAGTACTCACCACCACTTAACTATCTGATCTATATATCATTATGTGTGTCTGTACTGGAAAGCTTAATTATAATTATATTTAAAGAGATGAGTTTACAGGAAACAGGTTTAGAAGTAGAGGGGGAAGGGAGTTAAATTTTGTGAGTAAACTTTAAATTTGCCTATAGATTTAGTTCAGCATATCAGTATGATGGTGGAGAAAAGGGACTCAATGTGACAAAAGAGGAAAAGTAAAGTTTTCTGTCATTACAACTATTATTTTATTCCAAATTTAAAGCAGCATGATTAATCACAACAATGCGCAAAATGTCGAACAGTTAACTAGTGAAAATGACACACAAATAAAAAGGTAAAATAAGAATTCTTCATTTTTATTTCATTTCCTAATATGCATGCATGTTCTTATGTAGTGTAGCAAGTTTAAGTTGACTCTAATTACAATTGGATTTTTTTTAATTTTAAAAGTTTTTCCAAAATTGGGCCAAAGTCCTTTACTTAAAGCTTTTGGTTAAATTTTGTTGAAATTTGCATTTTCTGATACACATACATGTTTTTATGTTGTGCTTATATACAAGGTACTACAATCACTTTAACTTAATTATTTTGTTGCAATAGTAATAGTCCAGTAGGCTTGATAGAGCCTGTGCAAAAAATTACTATTGATCAAGAAGATTTTGGGGCTGAAGGTGTTGCAGAATGCTTTCAAGAGTGGTTTAACGTAATTGAAACTCAAGATATAGAGCAGCAGTTAATGTTCTGTCAATTGTTTCAAGTATGATAATAATTATTTTTTAATCATATTTTATGGAATTTTAGACAACCTTTGATCTTTGTCGTACATTATTCATCGGCAAAATCAAGGAACCTTTTTTTGCTTTAACTGAATTAACTGATGATGAGAATGAAAGTAGCACAATAAACATCAAAAGGAAAAAGCATTTGGAAAATGTTTCAAAAGCACATAAGCTCCTTTTGATGCACTCTTTCAATGAACTACAAAATGCTGATCTGTTTCAAGTAGTGAAAAAGGTGAAAACTTTGCATACTTTTTAAAAATAAATTTTGGTATAGGTGAAAGGCTCCTTGTCTGATAAACAATGTAAATGTCTTGTAACACAAGAAGAGGACCTAACTGTTGAAGCCGTCAAGATTTGCTGGAAAATGCAAATGTTGCCTACACCAATGTTTGTCTGTCAACCAAAAGTCTTTAAGGACCAATGGCACGAGACCCATTATGACTCTTGGGGTGATGATAGTACTAATGACTTAGTGTATTATAGACCAGTCCTGATGAACAGTGCTGGAGGATCAATTGCTTATAAAGGTCTAGTGGGTAGTAAAAGTAAACTGTCGGATGGTATATTGAATAATCATGATGAAGGTATTACACAATACTATTCAATGTTACATTTACATTTTATGATCTTTTTAGATGATGATGATTTTGCAGATAATTGTCAAAAATTAATGGAAATATTGCCTGTAATTTCAAGCTCAAAACAAATTCCGATGCATTTTAAAGCTCAAGTTGATGAATTATTGAAAGCAGCCAAAAAAATACAGTACTGATGTGTTCTTTTTTACTATTTTGAAATCATTTTTTACCTATTGTAGCATATTCAGTTTTGTCATTTTTATTATCATAATTCTTTATTATTTAACACAAATTCATATCATTTGCAAAGAATACATTAAGAAGCTTCTAAATTTGAGTACGCCACATAATTTTGTTATTGAATAAATTTGCTCCCAATAGAAGAAATTCAATAAAAGTGTTATCATTGATAGTATTATAAGTTTGAGCTAATTCCAGCCAAAGATCTTTGAAAATATTCAAAGTCATTCAAACTATTGTAAACTGACGACTACCTATTGTCATAAATTTTTATAAATGTCCTCAAAAATTTTTTGCATAAAAAGTGCATCGTCATTGAACAAGTTTAATGTATTAGAACAGAACAATGGCACAAACAAAAAAGGTTACAAACCAATAATAAATTAAGAGTAATAGAAATATTAAATTAGACATTGAGTGACCTAATGCATAAATCCTGTGTAACTGCTGAATTACTTGACATAGTTTGATTAGATTTATTCATTATTTTATGACAAACAATATCAACAAAAACACTATTAATTTCTGGCCTAAAGTATGATTGAACAACTGGACTCAAGATAATTGCCAAGAAAAACAAAATAAAAGCAGAAATGATGAGTTTATCTGGAGCATTAACAAAAGCTATAAATGAAGATAAAAATACACTAGGAGTAAAACATATCCCATAGACCAGTAGCATTGACCCAAATATCCCAAACAACCTCTTCTTCTTTGAAGCATAGACACTCTCTCCTACTATCATTGACTGATTATTAATAAACTTACGAGTGAAACAAAACGTCCAAACTGAAGTAACAACAATGATGCACAGTATGATTGATGCTAATGAAAATCGAATCACAGCTGTAAAAGGACTGGTGGTAAATGCATAGCAAGCTCCTGAATTATCTAGATACTGAAATAATACACCAGATCCATCAATAAATCCAGAAGAGAAAAATAGAGCATTGACTATCCACACAATAATGACAAGGACCAGAGCTACCCTTGGACTCATGAACCGTTTGTGGAGATGAGGCTTTACTATAAAAAGGAACCGGTCAATTGATATAAGGCACAGAGTCATAAACATGACATAAGCACAATAAAGTATTATATAAGCAGTGAAACCACAGGTTCCTTGCTTCTCTTCATCAGTATTACCAATGATCCACTCACCAGCAGCTAATGCAGTGATAGAGAAAGGAAGATAGAGTGTTAATACAAGGTGTGCCAGTATGAGAGAAGTAAAGAATAATGTTGATGATTATTTCCAGGACTTCCTTTGATAAATAGTAATGACTAGTACAACACCATTAGCTATGAGAGCTAGTATCATCTCAATACTAAGAACTCCTGCTACTGCCTCAGGACTGAAATCACCAGTAAAAGTATAATTCCTTTCCATCCAGTACTGAGCTGACAAAATCACTTGAAGAAGCTACACTTGTCCTTGCTGAACTCTGTTTGAAATGTTTTTTTGTACTGCTCGATATAATAAGGATGTACACGTAGCAGATTACACTATAAAACAAGATTTCCCTTAACACAACTTGCAATGTTGCAAATAATGTATAACTGTACATAAACATAGGCTATGAGCCAAACTTCAAAGATACTGCAGTGCTGAAACTAGGAATTGATAAATCCCATTGATGCTTGATATTATCTCCACTTGTGGTAAACAGATGCAAATCTGATGTTTTCTAGAGTAATCATGATTGAAAATTATAATGAAGTAATTTTTGTGTGTACTTACTTTTGTGTGTATTTACTTTGAAAATTCAATAATCGCTATTTGACCTGTGAATTTAGGTAATTCTGTTTTTAAAAAATTAATTTTGATGTATTCATTATAGGCATTCTTATGCATACGAAATTGCAAGGTATCATATTAAGAAGCCAAATACTAAACTATGATGACTTTTATATTTTTCAGAGTTTCACTTTATAGCACTATCTATAGTAATGAATTATGTTTAGTTCTGCTTTTAATGCCTCCTAAATCTTACATTCAATTTGTTATTTTTATCATTCAATTGGCCATCGATCATTTTAGAATAGATAATTGTTTTTCTTTAATGGAGGGAAAATATAATAATTGTTATTATAAAGAAGTCAAAATACATTTTCAGTTTACATTACAGCTATTCTGTTATTTCTAAAATCACAAATAAACAACAAACCATCTTTATCAAATGTCAATCCTCTTGGTCCGTCAAATTGATCAATGTTACTGCCTTTTTCGCCAAAATTGCAAACAAACACGCCACTGGTAGTGAAGATTGAAATAAGGGAGTTTCCATTATCACATACATAGACAAGATTTTGAAAATTGTTGATTGTAATCCCTGCAGGGTTTATCAGTTGTCCAGGATTTGAACCCTCACCACCAAACTGAGTGATAAAATTTCCATCAGGGGTGAATTTTTGGATACGGTGGTTGCCCCAGTCAGCAATGTAAACTAAACCCTGACTATCAACACTAACGTTTGTTGGTTTGTTGAAATAACCTTTGGCTGATCCTCTACTACCAAATGAATGAGAGAAGTTTAGGTTAGGACTTAAGACTTGTATACGATGATTGCCACAATCAGCAATAAAAACTTGCTCTGTTACTGGAGAAATGGACATGCCTTCAGGACTACTAAATTGAAATAATCCACTACCCATTTCACCGAATGATGCTATGAAGTTTCCATCCATGCTTATCTTCTGGATCCTGTGATTATCACACACCAGAATGCACTTGTCCTGAGTAATTGCTATACCACGAGGAGAAAAAAAGCTGGCATTACCAGTCCATCCTTTTCCTAATGTCTTCATTTTTCTTTCTTTTCTATTTAATAATTTTATTGAGTTATTGTTATATTCAGTGACAACAAGGACACAATTGTCATTGCTTACAGCAACTTCCCAGGGACCATTAAGCTTAGTTATAGTATCATGTACTGGAGTGATGTTATCAAGGTAAGGATTGAAAGGGATGACTAGTGAGGTATCTTCAAGGTGTACATCATATACTTGTACTTTTACTGTATGAGTACCACTGGTTGAAGGGTTACACTGTATCCTATACACTCCAGGAACAGTGCTGGTGGTAGTGACTGTAGTGTGAATGGGTTGATCACTTTTACCAGCTGGTACTAGACTACACCTCAGAGAAGAGAGGGGAACAGACAAAAGAGATGAATCTGGTGCCTCCATTGATAGTAAAAATGAAAAAACACTCTTCTCTCTAAAATGTTCTAATTTTTCAATTTTTACGCTGCAATTTTGTAGTGAGTAAAATACAATATCACCAATCTTGTGTAGCGACTCAATGATATTGCTATTCTTGAACAACCTGATGTCAGCTTTTTCCATTGGATGCAAGTCATTCAAATTGATCTGCTTAGTCATTTCATCCATATGATTTATCATTTCTTTCTTTGAGCTCAGAACTTCTTGAGGACTGCCTGTCTTGAGATTCTGTTCCACATAACGCTCAACATCCTCCAAAAGACTCAAACATGTTTTGCTTGATTTCATCTGCTCTGACAGCACCTTTAGTTTATCATCAGTGATCTTTCTTGCCTGCTCAGTCAGTTTCTTCTCTGACTCATGAAGAACATCTACCATTTCCTCTACCATTTCATGTATTTCTTTTAAAACTCTTTCTCCTCTCTCTTTGATTTCACTCTCTCTCTCTCCTATAGCAGACATGACCTTCTTGAGTGCCTCAATTTTCTCTTTTATTGGCTTAAGAGAACTCTTTAACTCTTCTTTGTGTTTGATATAACTCTCAGCTATTAGGTTATACTTGTGATCTCTATGAGCAAGTATAGCACAATCATGACAGATAGATTCATTGCATGTGTCACAGAAATACTTCAATGGCTCATCATGACTTGGTATAGAGCAAATCAAGGTCGGCATATATTGCTGCTCCTTCTTTTTTTCAGGATTCAACTGAGAAGTAGAGGCTGTGACCTCTTGAAGACTTGTCAGTTGATGATTAGAAGTAGGGCCCCATTTCTTGTGCACTAGTCTATCACATTCTGTACAAAGGGACTTACTGCAGTCTTTGCAGTATCCAGTGACATTAGCTGTAGTGCAGTTGTCACAGGTGACTTGTTGAGGATAAGATGCATTTGTCATTAAACTGTGTAAATCTTTGAGGTTGTTGAGGTGGAATGCTACAGGAAAGGCTCCTGCTCCTTTTTCTGGTAACTCTATACGATGATAACAAGCAGGGCAGGAGAGGTAATAGGTCTCATTTTTCTTATCCAGAGGTAATCTTTCCAGACAGTCTTGACAGAATGAATGTAGGCAAGGTAAAGACTTAGGGTTGGTATAGTGGTCAAGACACACGGGGCAGGTGAGCTGTTCTTCCAGTTTGAGAAGAGGAGCTGAAGACAATCTGTGTATTGCTTGCTTTGCTGCCATTTCTGAGGAGACGATACGGAAATAATAGTGTACAAGCTATAGATCTATTTCTATGTAAATACTGGTAGATATTATTCTCAGTTTTGTGTTCAGTTGTTATAAGTTTATATTAGCTATTGAATAAAAAACAACAATAACATAACAGCATTTATTGATAACAATGATCTGCTTTCAATACGGTATTCATGATGCAATTAATGTCTACTGAAAATATCATTATTACAGTTACACAGATTTGCTGATATTTACTACCAATAATGCAATTAAAATTATCAAATTTGATTTACTAGGTAGCATTGCTCATAATACTTTTCAGAAATTGGCATCAGGGCTGGAAATTAATATAGATCTACTTCTATAAATTTAGTAAAATTAAAAACCAATATTTCAAATGCTCATAACTCAAAAAATTTGTAATTGAAATTAATACAGGGCATTGGCATCAGTATTCAAAGTTTAGCCTACAAAATATTTTTTTCAAAAATGGCAAAATGAGATTGTTTCATTTTTATAATTTTTTCTGATGCATATACATGTCTTTATGTTGTATAGAAAGTTTAAGCTTGTTCTGATTAAATTTGGATTTTTTAATGAATTTTTAAAGTTACTCAAAAATCGAGCCAAAGTGCCTGTACTCAAGGGTTATGGTCAAATTTTGCTGAAAATGGCTAAAAGAAAATTTTTCGTTTTTATAATTTTTTCTATTACATATACATGTTTTTATGGTGCATATAAAGTCTGAGCTGATTCTGATAAAATTTAAATTTTTATGAATTTTTAAAGTTACTCCAAAATTATGCCAAAGTCCCTGTACTATGGTACTGGGTTCTTGGCCAAATTTTGTCAAAAATGGTAAGGTGAGAATCTATTATTTTTATAATATTTTCTGATACATATACATGTTTTTATGTTGCGTAGAAAGCTTGAACTGATTCCGATCAAAATTGGATTTTTTACAAATTTTTAAAGTTGCTTCAAAATCGGGACAAAGTCCCTGTACTATAGTACAGGGTTCTTGGCCAAATTTTGCCAAAAATGGTAAGATAAGAATTTTTTATTTTTATAATTTTTTTGATACATATACATGTCCTTATGTTGCGTAGGAAGTTTGAGCTGGTTCCAATCAAAATTATATTTTTTACAAATTTTTAAAGTTGCTTCAAAATTGGGCCAAAGTCCCTGTACTATGGAACAGGGTTCTTGGCCAAATTTTGCCAAAAACGGTAAGGTGAAAATTTTCCATTTTTATAATTTTTTGATACATATACATGTTTTTATGTTGCGTAGAAAGTTTGAGCTGATTCCTATCAAAATTATATTTTTTACAAATTTTTAAAGTTGCTCCAAAATTGGGCTAAAGTCCCTGTACTATAGTACAGGGTTCTTGGCCAAATTTTGCCAAAAATGGCAAAGTGAGAATTTTCTATTTTTATAATTTTTTCTGATACATATACATGTCTCTATATTGTGTAGAAAGCTTGAGCTGGTTCCAATCAAAATTAGATTTTTTACGAATTTTTAAAGTTGCTCTGAGATCGGGCCAAAGTCCCTGTACTATACAGGGTTTATGGCTAAATTTTGCCAAAAATGTTAAGATGAGAATCTTTTATTTTTATAATTTTTCCTGATACGTATATATGTTTTTATCTTGCATAGAAAGTTTGAACTGATTCCGATCAAAATTGGATTTTTTACGAATTTTTAAAGTTGCTCCAAAATCGGGCCAAAGTCCCTGTGCTATAGTACAGGGTTCTTGGCCAAATTTTACCAAAAATGATAGGATAAAAATTTTCTATTTTTATAATTTTTTCTAATACATATATATATATCTTTATGTTGCATAGAAAGTTTGAACTGGTTCCGATCAAAATTGGATTTTTTACAAATTATTAAAGTTGCTCCAAAGTCATATTATTGTGGTGCTTAAAGCATGCTATTTAGCATTGCTACGTGAGCTAAACAGCATAACATAGCTTTTGAGCATACTTTGTGGGAAACACTGCCCCCACTAACATGCTCCCTACAAGCAATAGACACTATATAGCACACCTGTCCAATCAGTCTGTGATGTTGGCCCACCCTATGGTCCACCCAATGGCTGGTTAGCTTTTATAGAGGGTGATATCAACTTTACACTCAGTGATAACAGTAAACCAATAAAAAATTATTAAATCTAATATAGCAAAAAAAGAATTATCTTAATAAACAACAATTCTGCTAGTATTGTAATCACAGACATACAAGAATCCATCTTTATCAAATGTTAAATCGTAAGGAGCACTAAACTGATCAATGCTACTACCTTCACTTCCAAAGCTATTAACAAACTCGCCCTTATTAGTAAAGACAGAGATACGATTATTGGCCCATTCAACAGCATATACTAGGCCAGTAGCTCCAGTGTCTATCGCTATACCATGGGGCCTATTTAGCTGACCAGGACTAGAACCTCTGAGTCTGATACCAAACTTATCCAAAAACTGTCAGTCTGATGAGAACTTTTGAATCCAATGGTTCTTAAAATCAGCAACATATACAAATTCTTGATCATCAATAGCAATGCTTACAGGGCATAAAATGATATGAGACACAATGGTATATAGCACACCTGTGCAATCAGTCTGTGATGTTGGTCCACCCTATGGTTCAGTGAACCCCAATGGCTGGTTAGTTTTTATAGATATGTGATGTTTTGAGTGACTTGACAATCCACTGTCAAGAAGCTGCTTGAGCACTATGCCAAATTCTTGTTGAAACCCTGAATGTGATAATAAACTTATTTTTTATGGGCATTCTTTTCTGGTAAACTCAAAATAACTGGTAACACTGGACTGGCCATGAAACTGCAAAGTATCATGCCTGAGAAACCAAAGCCTAAACTGTGATAACTTTTAAGAATTTATAATGCTATTAAATGTAATTAATTATTGAATATTTATGTCACGAGGACTTGCTACAGTTCTTGCATGCACCAATGGCAATAAACACAGCAATGAAGTTGTAGATATGCTTGATAATTACATTTTCTAATTTCTAAGTAATTAATTGATTGTAACATGTATTCATACAACTTAGCCTATCTACAACTCATAACATTTATTTACCTAGATAGGTAATTATGAGTTAAATATACCAAATATCTGTTTAAAGTCATGAAACTAGTGATCCTAAACTTGATCTTGACTTTCCTTAATCAATTGGAATTTTTTCTTTAACAATCTAAAAGTAAAAAGCAATATTACAAACTGATTCACATCATGGGTATTTAATAATATCCTACCTCAACCAATCTTCCTTTGTAGTGTTCTTCGTCTTCATCATCATATTCTTCAGGAACTTCTATCCCTTCTCTCTTTATAATCAGTTTCATGATATGTAAATTATAAATCTCAACTGGATCCAATTTAGCTTCATTGATTTTATGAACCAAATATTCCTTATAATGCCACCTGTGTGAATTAAAATAAAGCAAAACAAAGAAACAAGATTCATAAAAATTAATTGAGGATCAATTTGTTTTAATTGTCATTGAACATAACATTTTCTATGCTGTACTTCCTCAAAAATTCACTAGTCTATATTCTCAAATTGTTTCGAAAATTGTTTTGAAAAAATAAATTATTTATTATTAATAAGTTGCACATCAGTATGCTATACAGTGACTCACTCGCAGAGTCCAGCCATACCAAAAGGTGCATGTTTGCGACATGGTTCATCTCCAAAACCAGAAGGTGTTTCCTTTAGTAATATGACTGGACAAACTAGCAAAATCTCTTCACCATCAATAACATGAGCTGGAGGCTTTGGTATATCCCATTCTTCTCCATCAGGTTTATCAATAGGCTCACCTTGCACTCTCTTGTCTTTTGTAGCTGCTACCTGAGCCTCTGATGGTTCTAAAACATCAATACATGCAAAAATGAAAAACAAAAGTACCATATAGCGCAAAATTTTCGAGGGCTGTAAATTTTGTGGATTTCACAATTTTTGAAGAATTGCAAAAATTACTTCCTCGAAAATCAAAATTATTAGGGCACAAGACAGTGGACAGTATAAATTCGTAAAAATCCACAAAATAGATTTTTAGGAAAATTCGCAAAATTTACAGCCCTTGAAAATTTTGCGTTATACGGTATTAGCATAAAAATATTTCCAACAGGATAGATATGATATGCAATGTAGAAAGTTCGAGCCAATTCCAAATTTAAATTTTATTTATAAGCATTAATAGAATTCATTCTTATGACACATCTGCAGGGCTGTATAGGAAACAAAGATTGTTGTGCAAGCGATCATGCACATTTCAATTTTGGGGAATTTATTTGTGGAGTTAATAGTCAAGCTTATACTTGACCAAAAAAGACTAAAGCCAGATCTCAAAAAGTGGTTACACATTAATCTACAGTCTAATAAACTGTCCCACAGTCATTTACTAATGCTGTTATGCATGCCATTACTCACTTGATAGATATTTAACATTATTATCATCTAACAATTTTTTCAAGCTAACGACATCATAATCTCTCAGATAAAAGAGGCAGTCACGAGGATGATGAGCATGTTGGGGCAATGGCCTACTGGCACCTGTCTTGCAATACTGACGATCACATTCCTACATGTGTATAATAACACAAAAAATTAGAATGGTACCAAGTCTAGTATTTGTATAATAATTTTTATAGTTTTTCAAAAGAAAGCTACAAAATCTTCAGTTCCTTTTGATCAATTTTATCACGTTTGATTGAATAACGTACAAGTGCATGTAAATTTTCTTTCGTGTAGTATTATAATGAAATGCTATAAGTAAAATAGTATACTTGCACAATATTATGTGAGTCTGGTAGAAATTAACTAAAATTCAAAATAGCACTTCATATGTCTAAATTTCCAAAATTTTTTATTTACTCATGTTTTCTTACCTCTCATAATTTGTCTCTCATCTCCTCTCTCCCTCACTCTTTCTTACATAACCACTCTTAAAATACATTCTTTTACATCCAAAGCAGAATTCAGTAGGACACCTGATACAAGACATTCGCCAGTTATTGCAATCTCTTTTAGCCAGCTCAAAATGAAGCTTGCACATAGGACACTCTGAAAAAACACCATAACACATAACACATTGCATACATGTAGTAGAGTACCAATTCCATTCTTTGCCGTCATTGCTATTAATTCAGCTTCAGCTCCTACTCGATCATCACCAGCTTTCCATTGTGCAAACTGATGACATAATATACCATCATGCCAATCTTCAAACTACATGGAAATAGAGAAGGAATAATAATAATAAACTTTATAATAAAAAATTTAATATATTATTCTATTAATAACTTACAGCAACTACCCAGGGATAGGTTACAATGTGTACTGAAGTGTTATCAACATAGATAATATCCTCAAGTTGAACACCATATATTTGTATTTTAACAATATAACTATGAGTGCCAGTGGTTGAAAGGTTACACTGTACCCTATACACTCCAGGATCAGTGCTGGTAGTAGTGACTGTAGTGTGACTGGGTTGATCATCTTTAGCAACTGGTACTAGACTGCACCTGAGAAAAGAGAGAGGGACTGACAAAAGAGATAAATCTGGTGCCTCTATTGATAGTGAAAATGAAACTGTTTTGCCAACATGTTCAATGCAATTAATTTTCTTCACTCTAAACTTTTGTAATGCAGTAGATGCCACAATATCTCCAATGTGATGAAGTGATTTGATATGTTTTCTCAATATAAAGTCAGCTTTTTCCTTTAGATGTAGCTCCTCCACATTGATCCCTGTAGTAACTTCACTCATACGCTCCATCATCTGTTTCTTAGACCTCAGGACTTGTTGAGGACTGCCTGTCTTCAGACTCTGTTCCACATAATTCTCAACATCCTCCAGAAGACTCAAACTTATTTTTGTTGATTTCATCTGCTCTGACAGCACCTTTAGTTTATCATCAGTGACCCTCTTTGCCTGCTCAGTCAGTTTCCTCTCTGACTGACGAAGAACATTCATCATTTCCTCTACCATTTCATGTATTTCTTTTAAGACTTTTTCTCCTCTTTTCTTGACTTCACTTTCTCTCTCTGCTAAAGCAGACAAGACATTTTTGAGAGCTACAATTTTCTTTTTTACTGGATTGAGAGATTTCTCCAGTGCTTCTCTATGTTTACTAAAACTATTAGCAATTAGGTTATACTTGTGATCTTTATGAGTGAGTATAGCACAATCACGACAGATAGATTCATCACATGTGTCACAGTAATACTTCAATGGCTCATCATGACCAGGTACAGAGCATATGAGGGTTGCCTCCTGTTTAGCTGGAACAAGAGAATTAGAATAGATACAGGATGTCACCTCATCAAGACTTGTCAATTGATGATTACTAAAACGAGCCCATTTCTTGTGGGTAGAGATACATTCTGTACAAAGGAATTGACTGCAGTCTTTGCAGTATCCAGTGGCATTAGCTGTGGTACAGTTTTCGCAGGTGACCTGTTGAGGATCAGCTACTTTCTTGATTGAACTGTATATCTCTTCGAGGTTGTTGATAGTGAATGCTACAGGAAAGGCTCCTGCTCCTTCTTCTGATATTTCTGTACGATGACGACAAGTGGGACAAGAGAGGTAATAGGTCTCATTCTTCTTATCCAGTGGTAATCCCTCCAGACAGTGCTCACAGAATGAATGTAGACAAGGTAAAGTCTTAGGGTTAGTATAGTGGTCAAGACACACAGGACAGGTGAGCTGTTCCTCCAGTTTGAGGAGACCAGAAGATGGTTTGGTTGCCATTTCAAGAAAAGAACAAAATTATGTACATAAAGCAAGAACAAAAATGAAGGGAGATAAAGGTATACAGAAGAAAGTAAATGAAGACAGAGCAAGAACAAGCAATAATAAAATAAAGAAGTCGAAATGAATGAGAACGAGTAGCCTGGCTGCCTGGGGAATGACAGCCCTGATGACCTCTTGAAGTTGCAATATTCTTCTCAGGAAGTTATGATAGCTTGATAATGATAACATACATGTACAGGTAAATTCCCATAGTAGTTTATGTACCAGGTCCAGTAAAAGGTGAATTACATGATTTACATGTAGCATTGTAGGTTTGTAGCTACTTGTAATTGCAATTACATCTATGGCCGTACATGTGAAGTGATTGACATTTCTTGTGCATTGTTGTTGATGATGAAAATGTCATTTGATGTCATGTGACTTACGTACGTGATGGTTTGTCTTTGGCATCAGATGTCCACTTAGACCATAACTTGAAATGAGATCACCACTGTTCTACTTCTACACTTAATGGAGGAGAGGGAGAGAGAGGAGAGTGGCAAGAAAGAATGAGTTATACATGTATGGTGTAGCTTTTATTATAATTGACACTCGGTACAATAAAGTTTGTCTGTTTTTAAACAGAGGTCCTTTACATGGAGGTTATTTTATACAGTAGTTATAAGGAATATAATTGGTACACTAGGTAAGTCCACTAAATGGAGGTAACACATACAGTAAAAAGTTAAGGTGGGTTCAGAATATTTGCATTGCGACCGGAAGTGCTGTATAACGCAATGGGTAAACGCAAGAATAGAACTCTGCTCTATTCTTGCATTTATCATTGCGTTATATGGCACTTCCGGTCGCAACGCACATATTGTGAACCCAGCTTTATAAATCTAGTGTAACCTAAAGCCATGTTATTGTGGTGCTTGTCAGCTTATATATGAAGCACTGCATCATGATTTGTGGGTAACCTTGGTACATGTATTACACCTTATGGTCCACCCAATGGCTGGTTAGCTTTCATAGAGGGTGATATCATTCACATATAATCAAATAGGCTGTAGTTACAATAATGTATTAACTTTACACTTAGTGATAACAGTAAACCAGACCAAAAAAATTATTAAATCTAATATAACAAAAAAAATTATCTCAATAAACAACAATTCTGCTCATATTGTAATCACAGACATACAAGAATCCATCTTTATCAAATGTTAAACCGTAAGGAGCACTAAACTGATCAATGCTACTACCTTCACTTCCAAAGCTATTGACAAACTCGCCCTTATTAGTAAAGACAGAGATACGATTATTGGCCCATTCAACAGCATATACTAGACCAGTAGCTCCAGTGTCTATTGCTATACCATGAGGCCTATTTAGCTGACCAGGGCCAGAACCTCTGATACCAAACTTGTCCAAAAACTCTCCGTCTGACGAAAACTTCTGGATGCGATGGTTCTTAAAGTCAGTAACATATACAAATTCTTGATCATCAATAGCAATGCCTACAGGGTATGAAAACTGTCCATTAGCTGATCCTTCACTGCCAAACGAATGAGAAAAGGTTAGATCAGGATTCAAGACTTGAATACGATGATTACTCTTATCAGCAACATAAACTTGCCCTGTTATTGGAGAAATGGCTATACCGTATGGAGTATTAAATTGTAACGGTCCATTACCCTCCTCACCAACTGATGCCTTAAGGTACCCATCCATGCTTATCTTCTGGATTCTATGATTGTCAGACACAAGAATGAATTTATCCGGAGTAATGGCTAAACCACGAGGAAAAGAAAATTTGACATCGCCACTTCCTCCTTTCCCTCCTAGCGATTTCACTTTCTTTCCGTCTCTGTCCAGTATTGTTATACACTGACCAAGATTTTCAGTTACTATCACACAATTACTATGATTACAAACAGCAACTCCCCAGGGACCATGTAGCTCATCTATAATATGTAAAGGAGCAATGTTCTTAAGGTAAGGATTGATAGGGACAACTAGTGAGACATCCTCAGTTTGTACATCATCTATTTGTGCTTTTACCGTGTGATACCTACTGGCTGAAGGGCTACACTGTATCCTATACACTCCAGGATCAGTGCTGGTGGTAGTGACTATAGTGTGAATTGGTTGATGACCTTCACTAACTGATAATAGGCTACACCTCAGAGAAGAGAGGGGAACAGACAAAAGAGATGAATCAGGTGCCTCTATTGATAGTAAAAATGAAACATTTTTTTCTTTTGGAAGACGTTCAAAGCAACCAACTTTCTTCACTCTACACTGCTGGAGTGCAGTAGATGAGTAGGTCACAATATCTCCAATATGATGAAGCAATTTGATATCTTTACTCAATACAAAGTTGGCCTTTTCCTTTGGATGTAACTTCTCTACATTGATCCCTGTAGTAACTTCACTCATACGCTCCATCATCTGTTTCTTAGACCTCAGGACTTGTTGAGGAATGCTTGCCTTCAGACTCTGTTCCACATCATTTGCAACATCCTCCAGAAGACTCAGACTCTTTTCTGCTGACTTCATCTGCTCAGACAGCACCTTCAGTTTAGCATCTGTGACCTTTTTTGCCTGCTCAGTCAGTTTCCTTTCTGACTGACGAAGAACATTCGTCATTTCCTCTACCATTTCATGTATTTCTTCTAAGACTTCTTCTCCTCTCTCTCTGATCTCACCCTCTCTCTTCGTTAAAGCAGACATGACCTTCTTGAGTGCTTCCTTCTTTCCCTCAACTGATGATAGACACTCTCGTAAACTTTCACAATGTTTCGTATAACTGTCAGCGACTAAGTTGTATTCGTGATGTTTGTGATTATGAGCTAAGCAGGTAACACAGATTACTGTATTACACGCTTCACAGAAAACATCCAATGGTTTACCATGATCGTTACATGTGTCCTCTTGAGGAGCAGGTGAAAATACTGCAGCGTCCTTCATTAGATTGTAGGTCTCTTGGAGGTTGTTGAGGTGGAATGCTACAGGAAAGGCTCCTACTCCTTCTTTTGGCAACTCTGTATGATGACGACAAGTGGGACAAAATATGTGATCCTCATTCTTCTTATCTCGAGGTAATGCCTCCAGACAGTGCTGACAGAATGAATGTAGACAAGGTAAAGTCTTAGGGTCGCTAAAAAAGCCAAGACACACATCACAGGTGAGCTGCTCCTCCAGTTTGAGGAGACCAGGAGACGAAGAAGAGGAAGACTGCTTTCTAGCCATGTCCCGAGCCATGTGAGTACTTATATATAAATTCCTAAAACAGAAACAGGAGAGGGATCAGTAAAGACAGATGGTAGGGTAGACACAACAGTAAATGAAGGTGGTGATAAGATAATGAAGAAGTGCAGAACAATCCAACAGTTATCCAAGAAAGTAAGAGATAAATTAGCCCTGCCTCCTGATGTCATATTCAACAGAAATTATGAAAAATATTCCCTGAATTTGGTAGTAACCACTAAAGGGAAGTTATGATAACTGTTATGACATAATGTGCATTAAACTTACATGTTTTCTACAGAATTTTCACAGTATTTCTGTAGTTCATTTCTAATTTGTTCCTTTTCTCTTCTCTCCTCTTGTAGCTCCTTTTCCTTTTCTTCCAGCAGATGTCTTAGACGGTCTATTTCTCTTCTATCATAAAAGAAAAATAGACCGTAGTTCTATCCTCAGGTTGAACAGGTTGAGATGCTTCCCATTCTCTTCTCCTTTCTTGTAGTTGATCTTGATACTGGTCCAGAGGTATTACGCTAGTAGACCAATCATTATCACTAGTATATCCTATAAAAATATATCAGTCACTCCAAAGGTTACACTGTTTAATTATTTATTATAATTCATTGTCTATATCCCATCAATAACTTTGATTTTACATGTACAGTACATGCACTTAATGAGTTCAAAAACTGCTGTATCTCTGTATGATGTATATCCTCCTTATTACATTTTCTGAAACATAATGATGTACTTAGCTAATTACAACTGGCCAATTTCTGAAAAAACCCATGTTTTTTAAATTCCTTGCCAATAAATCATTTTGTACGGTATGCTATGTAGAAAGTTTAACCTAATCTGGCTGGTCAACTGGCCTTGTGGGTTTATTTATATCTAAATCACTGATTAATTATACCTATTATACCAGTATTCTTGGAGCACATTACATATAAATGCCAGCCACACACAAGTAGGTATACATGTACATAAATAGTGTCTTAAATAAAGAGGTTACACAGTAGTCTATCATAGTCAGTATTAAGAACATTATTTATTATTTCTTTGAAGAAGTTGAATAGATAAATAGATTCGTTAGTTTTAATTATTTCAGATAATTATAGTTAATAAAATTAATATTTATAAATAATAGTTATGCTACTAAAATTAAAACTGAAAAATAAAATTTAGTAAACAACAAGTCGGCTATTATTAAAATCACAAACATACAAGAATCCATTTTTATCAAATGTTAATCCATAAGGATGATCAAACTGATCACGATAACTGCCTTTACTCCCAAACCTATCAAGAAACACACCATCGCTTGTAAAGACTGATATACGATTATTGCCTTGCTCACTGACATACACTAGACCAGTAGCTGCAGTGTCTATTGCTATACCTACTGGTTCCTTAAAGTTTCCAGGACCAGATCCTTTAGTACCAAACTGGCCCACAAACTTTCCGTCTGGAGAAAACTTCTGAATGCAATGATTATCATAATCAGTAACATACACTAATTCTTGACTGTCAATAGCAATGTTACATGGATACAGAAACTCTCCATTAGCTGATCCTTTACTACCAAATGAATGAGAGAAGGTTAGATCAGAATTCAAAACTTGTACACGATGATTATCCCTATCAGCAATATAAACCTGTCCTGTTATAGGAGAAATGGCTAAACCATTAGGAGCTTTGAACTGTAGTTGTTCACTACCCTCCTCACTGACAGATGCTCTAAGGCATCCATCCATGCTAATTATATAGATGCTGTTACTATCATCAGAGACATAAAAAAATTTGTTTGGAGCAATGGCTACACCACGAGGAGTAGAATGCTTAATATAGCATTGTCCTACATTAATTTTTAATGATTTCTGTCTTTGTTTGGTTTGGATTTTTACAGAGCGACCAGTAAACTGAGTTATAATAATATGACCATCATCACTTACAGCAACTCCCCAGGGACCTTTAAGATCAGTTATGGTACGTACTGGAGTGATGTTGTCAAGGTAAGGATTGAACGGGATGAATAGTGAGGTATCCTTAAGGTGTACATCATATACTTGTACTTTTACTGTATGAGTACCACGTGTTGAAGGGTTACACTGTATCCTATACACTCCAGGATCAGTGCTGCTGGTAGTAACTGTAGTGTGAATGGGTTGATCACCTTTACCAACTGGTACTAGACTAGTAAGACTACACCTGACAGAAGAGAGGGGAGCAGACAGGAGAAATGAATTTGGTGCCACAATTGATAGTGAAAAAGAAAATTTTTTCTCTTTTGGAAGACATTCAAAGCAACCAACTTCATTCACTCTATACTGCTTTAGTGCAGTAGTTGAGTAGGTTACAATATCTCCAATGTGATGTAGTGATTTGACATCTTTGCCTACCAATGCAAAGTCAGCTTTTTCCTTTGGATGTAACTCCTCCACATTGATCCCTCCAGTAACTTCACTCATACGCTTCATCATCTGTTTCGTAGACCTCAGGACTTGTTGAGGACTGCCTGTCTTCAGACTCTGTTCCACATAATCCTCAACATCCTCCAGAAGACTTAAACTCTTTTCTGCTGATTTCATTTGCTCTGACAGCACCTTTAGTTTAGCATCGGTGACCCTTTTTGCCTGCTCAGTCAGTTTCCTCTCTGACTGATGAAGAACATTCACCATTTCCTCTACCATTTCATGTATATCATTTAAGACTCCTTCTCCTCTCTCTCTGATCTCACCCTCTCTCTTTGTTAGAGAAGAGAGGACTTTCTCGAGTGATTCTTTCTTTCTTCCAACTGGTGATAGACATTCTCTTAACTTTTGACAGTGTTTAGTATAACAGTTAGTGATTAAGTCATAGTCGTGATTTTTATGAATACGAACTGTGCAGGTAACACAAATTACTGTATTACATGTTTCACAGAAGAGCTCCAAAGGCTTTCCATGATCATCACATATGGCTCCTGCTTTTTTCATTGTACTGTGTATGTCTTTGAGGTTGTTGAGGTGGAATGCTACAGGAAAGGCTCCAACTCCTTTTTTTGGTAACTCTGTATGTTGACGACAAGTGGGACAAAAGAGATAATAGGTCTCATTCTTCTTATCCAGTGGTAATCCCTCCAGACAGTGCTCACAGAATGAATGTAGACAAGGTAAAGTCTTAGGGTTGGTATAGTGGTCAAGACACACAGGACAGGTGAGCTGTTCTGTCAGTTTGAGGAGACTAGGAGATGAAGATAGTTTGTTTGCCATTTCAAGAAAATATAAACTCGTGTGCGTAATGCAATAGAAAAATAAAGGTAGAACCGTAGCAGACAGTATGAAGATAAAGCAAGAGCAGACCGTCAGAAGTTGCGATTAATAAGAACGAGAGCAAAGGAAGAAAACAAGCAAAGACAAATAGCCCTGATGACCTTTTAAAATATTGTTACTGAAGGAAGCTATGATAGCACATTCCTTTATTATGACAACCAACAAGGGTGACTTTGCATTTATGAATAAGAATTCAACAGCAGGTGACAAATCAGTAATAATAGAGACTCCTAAAATCCTAATGACCAGATAAACCAGCAAAATAAAATGAAGAAGATGAAAGTAGGAGAGAAAAGCTAAACAGAACAGCTAAACACAAAAGTGGGTGATGTCTAATCTTAAATATATTCAAAGGTCTTGTGACTAGTTATGAAGTACCGTGAATCTTGGTTATACTATAGCTATATCAAATTAGGAGCTATAATTTACAAAGAAGATACTAAATATTATTATTGCACATCGTACATGTGCAATAAAATTGTGTGTCAAGTATTATAGCTAAAAATATTCGAGTAAAAAATTTGCCTCTCTACACGATAAGGTGAATATATGAATGACAAGTATATTTCACTATAATGTTGCCATTTTAGCAAATAATAATCATCATTAGTTTTGATAGCACTCAAGGAGGTGCCAAAACAGTACAAACATGATACTATAGCATTATTTAGTCTTTACAAAATATCTAAATCATAAAATTTACAAATAATACATAATTTACACATACTGTAAATGCATTTACTGTATGTAAACCAGACTGGGAACTCCACATATATGTACATTTACAGTTTCCTTATTCTTCTGTCAGTGTGTCCCATATCCACATTATTACATCTTTTGAACAACAACTGTACTTTAGCAAGAATCCTAAATAATAAATGTAATTAATAATTAATGCAGGTGTCATGTATGCAGCATTAAGATATCAAGCCAGATTTAATTTAATATCACACTTGTCCATAGTTCTAAACAGAGTTCTCAATATCGTATTGTTTCTGTCACTCATTTTCTGCATGCAGTCTTAATTGTTACGGCATTGGTTGCTTGTGTCCATAATTTTGACCTAGCTGTATCTACCTTAAAACAATTAACAACAACTATTCTTGTTCTTCCCTCCATTCTACTCTTACTCTACTCTTCATGGACGGTTAGATCTATTATCAAAAATTTAATATTAAAACAAAAACTTATAAATAAAACTATCACCAATTATTCAAATATTAATGAACAATAAGTTGGTTATTACTAAAATCGCAAACATACAAGAATCCATCTTTATCAAATGTTAATCCACAAGGAGAATCAACTTTACTGCCTTGACTTTCAAATCTACTAATAAATACACCTTCACCAGTGAAGACTGAAATACGGTGATTGCCATATTCACTAACATACACTAGACCAGTAGCTGCAGTGTCTATTGCTATACCAAATGGACTGTTAAGCTGACCAGGACCAGGTCCTTCAGTACCAAACTGGGCCAAAAAACTTCCATCTGAGAAGAACTTTTGAATACGATGGCAACCAAAGTCAGAAACATATACAAATCCTTGACTGTCAATAGCAATGCCTAGTGGAAACAAAAACTGTCCATCAGCTGATCCTATCTTACCAAATGAATGAGAGAAGGTTAGATCAGGATTCAAGACTTGAATACGATGATTATCCCTATCAGCAATATAAACCTGCCCTGTTATTGGAGAAATGGCCATACTACGGGGAGCCTTAAATTGTAGTGATTCGCTGCCATTCTCACCAACAGATGCTACAAAGTATCCATCCATGCTTATCTTCTGGATCCTGTGATCATCAGACACAAGAATAAAGTTGTCTGGAGTAATGGCTAAACCGCGAGGAAAAGACAACTTGACATTACCACTTCCTCCTTTCCCTCCTAATGATTTCACTTTCTTTCCTTCTCTGTCCAGTATTGTTATACACTGACCAAGATTCTCAGTTACTATAATACGATTACCATTATTACTTACAGCAACTCCCCAGGGACCATTTAGCTCATCTATAATATGTAAAGGAGCAATGTTCTTAAGGTAAGGATTGATAGGGACAACTAGTGAGACATCCTCAGTTTGTACATTATATACTTGTACTTTGATCATGTGAGTACCACTGGTTGAAAGGCTACACTGTATCCTATACACTCCAGGATTAGTGCTGGTGGTAGTGACTATAGTGTGAATGAGTTGATCACCTTTACGAACTGGTACTAGACTACACCTGAGAGAGGAGAGGGGAACAGACAAAAGAGATGAATCCGGTGCCTCTATTGATAGTGAAAATGAAATGCTCTTCTCTTTTGGAAGACGTTCAAAGCAACCAACTTTCTTCACTCTACACTGCTCTAGTGCAGTAGATGAGTAGGTCACAATATCTCCAATATGATGAAGCAATTTGATATCTTTAATCAATACAAAGTCAGCCCTTTCCTTAGGATGTAACTCCTCCACATTGATCCCTGCAGTAACTTCTCTCATACGCTCCATCATCTGTTTCTTAGACCTCAGGACTTGTTGAGGAATGCCTGTCTTCAGACTCTGTTCCACATAATTCACAACATCCTCCAGAAGACTCAAACTTTTTTCTGCTGATTTCATCTGCTCTGACAGCACCTTCAGTTTAGCATCTGTGACCTTTCTTGCCTGCTCAGTCAGTTTCCTTTCTGACTGACGAAGAACATCCACCATTTCCTCTACCATCTTATGTATATTATTTAAAACTTCTTCTCCTCTCTCTCTAATCTCACCCTCTCTCTCTGTTAGAGCAGACATGACCTTCTGTAGTGCTTCCTTCTTTCCCACAACTGATGATAAACATTCTCTTAAACTTTCACAATGTTTCGTATAACTGTCAGTAACTAAGTTGTATTCGTGATGTTTGTGAATATGAGCTAAACAATTAACACAGATTACTGTATTACAAGCTTCACAGAAAACATCCAATGGTTTACCATGATCGTTACATGTGTCCTCTTGAGGAGCAGGTGAAAATACTGCAGTGTCCTTCATTAGATTGTAGGTCTCTTGGAGGTTGTTGAGGTGGAATGCTACAGGAAAGGCTCCAACTCCTTCTTTTGGTAGCTCTGTATGATGACGACAAGTAGGACAAGAGAAGTAATAAGTCTCGTTCTTTTTATCCAGAGGTAATCTCTCCAGACAGTGCTGACAGAATGAGTGATGGCAGGGTAGGATCTTTGGGTTGGTATAGTGGGTGAGACACACAGGACAGGTGAGCTGTTCCTCCAGCTTGAGGAGACCAGGAGAACAAAAAGATGAAGATTGCTTACTAGCCATGTTGAGTACTTGAAGACTGATAAAGGTATCAGTAAACAAAGCTGATAGGTGATAAGGTATAATGAAGAAGTATGGACAGTGCAATTGAAGTTAACAATGTTGAAACTGCTTTAGTCTAGGCCCCACTACTGGTAGCTTGAGAACATTCTCTTGGTATTCAATGACCACTAAAGGAAGTTATGATAGCTGTACTAACGTGAATATGTAATATATAAATAGCTGTAATTATATCAATCGATGCATAGTAGCCTATAGCAGAAGTAGCATGCATGCAAGTAGACGTATGCCAATGGGTAAGGGCTTCACCTAGTACAATGTAATATGCAAGTAATAATTATTAATAATAATTTTAATGTAGACTAGATCTACTCTATTGTACTCTATTGCAGAGGAATGCAATTAGCCTATTAGGGAGTGCTATCTTTTGTTTTCTCTCAGTCACTCTCTCATTCACTTCCTATACTGCTTGCATTGAAACTTTTAGAAGGTGAAGGCACCTTTCCATGGTTGATGGTTACACTATAATCTTATCTTAATCTATAGGTAGGGTTATCAGTTATTTTTGTGTATCATAACTTCCTGGAAAGTTGACAGGGCTATCTTGCTATCATTAGCTGGTTATTTTTATTGTTCTACTTGTTACCTAATCTCTCTTCATTTTTTGCTTGACGTAACAAACAATTTTATTTTTTCTTGAAATGGCAACCGAGCAATTTTCATCTTCTCCTGGTCTCATCAAACTAGAAGAACAACTCACCTGTCCTGTGTGTCTTGACTACTATACCAACCCTAAGACTTTACCTTGCCTACATTCATTCTGTCAGCACTGTCTGGAGGCATTACCTCTGGATAAGAAGAATGAGTCCAATTACATCTCTTGTCCTACTTGTCGTTATTGTACAGGGCTACCAGAAGAAGGTGCAGGAGCCTTTCCTCTAGCATTCCACCTCAACAACCTCAAAGAGATATATAGCTTAATGAAGAAAGTAGCTGATCCTCAACAAATCATCTGTGAAAACTGTACTACAGCTAATGCCACGGGATACTGCAAAGATTGCAGTAAATTCCTTTGTCAGAAGTGTATGGATATACACAGAATTTGGAGTCCAATTGCACACCATCAGTTGACAAGTCTTGATAAAGTGACAACCTCTGTTTCTTCTACGTCTCAATTGCTAGCTCCAGCTAAACAGGAGGCAACCCTCATTTGCTCTGTACCTGGTCATGATGATTCATTGAGGTATTACTGTGACACATGTGATGAATCTATCTGTCGTGATTGTGCTATACTCACTCATAAAGATCACAAGTATAACCTAATTGCTAATAGTTTTAGTAAACATAAAGAAGTATTGGAAGAATCTCTTAAGCCGGTCAAAGGGAAAATTGAAGTGCTTAAGAAGGTCATGTCTGCTCTAGCAGAGAGAGAGGTTGAGATCAGAGAGAGAGGAGAAGGAGTCTTAGAAGAAATACATGAAATGGTAGAGGAAATGATGAATATTCTTCGTCGGTCAGAGAAGGAACTGACTGAACAGGCAAAAAGGGTCACTGATGCTAAACTAAAGGTGCTGTCAGAGCAGATTAAATCAGCAGAAATGAGTTTAAGTCTTCTGGATGATGTTGAGAATTATGTGGAACAGAGTCTGAAGACAGGCAGTCCTCAACAAGTCCTGAGATCTAAGAAACAGATGATGGAGCGTATGAATGAAGTTACTGCACAGATCAATGTGGAGGAGTTATGTCCAAAGGAAAAAGCTGATTTTGTATTGAGTAAGAATATTGGCTCACTGCATCACATAGGAGATATTGTCACACCAGCACAGTGTAAAGTGAGAAAGATTGATTGTATCGCATCTACTGGCAAAGCAATTTCATTTTCACTATCAATAGAGGTGCCAGATTCATCTCTTTTGTCTGTTCCCCTCTCTTCTCTGAGGTGTAGTCTAGTACCAGTTGGTAAAGGTGATCAACCCATTCACACTACAGTCACTACCACCAGCACTGATCCTGGAGTGTATAGGATACAGTGTAACCCTTCAACCAGTGGTACTCACACAGTAAAGGTACAAGTATATGATGTACAACTTGAGGATACCTCATTAGTCATCCCTTTCAATCCTTACCTTGATAATATCACTCCAATATGTGCTGTAGCAGATCTTAATGGACCGTGGGGAGTTGCTATAAGTGACGATTATGTTATAATAACTGAGTATGGTGGTCACTGTGTAGCAATACTGGATAAAGAAGGAAAGAAAGTGACATCATTTGGAAAAGAAGGAGGAAGTGGTAACGTCAAGTTTTCTTTTCCATGGGGTGTAGCCATTACTCCAGACAAATTCATTCTTGTATCAGATAATCACAGGATCCAGAAGATAAACATGGATGGATACCTTATAGCATCAGTTGGTGAGGAGGGCAGTGGACCACTACAATTTAGCTATCCTCGTGGTGTAGCTACTTCTCCTATAACAGGAAAAGTTTATGTTTCTGATATGAATAATCATCGGATACAAGTCTTCAATCCTGATTTAACCTTTTCTCATTCATTTGGCTGTAAAGGATCTGCTAATGGACAGTTTCAGTCTCCACGTGACATAGCTATTGACAGTCAAGAATTCCTCTATGTTACTGACACAGAAAATCATCGCATTCAGAAGTTCTCTCCAGATGGAAGTTTCTCGGCTCAGTTTGGTGCTTATGGATCTGGTCCTGGACAGCTTAACTGGCCAATAGGTATAACAATAGATACTGCAGCTACTGGTCTAGTGTATGTTAGTGAGTATAGTAATCATCGTATCTCAGTTTTCAATAGTCATGGTTTATACGTTTGTTGCTTTGGAACTAAAGGCTGTAATATTGATCAGTTTAATAATCCTAAAGGATTATTATACAAAGATGGATTTTTTTATGTATGTGATTTTAAGAATAATAGACTTGTTGTGTATTAAATTAGTTTTAATCAATCTTAGTGATATTTTAGCTTTAATATTATAAAATTTTTGACTATTAAATTGTGCATATATATGATCAGAATTCTTCTAAACCAATGAACTTCTCCAAAGTCAAGTTGATATGACCTGTGGTGATACAATCACTATTGTTTTCAGTAATAATATTCCTCCAGTTCTAAATGGTTTGTAAGATCATCATTACACATGTGTCCAATGTCCATACACATGTACATGCATTTTTAATCCTTTTGTATAGGGATGACTAGCATTGTCCTTCTTATAGACTACATTTTTGACATGCCAGGCAATAGTATACATGAAAGACAATGTACATGTATACTGTATAGTGACAGAATAAAGGATTGCGATATTTTAATCCTTCCATGATATTTCTTTATATTCTTCATGTCACTAGTTGATCAAAAATTGCATTAAAATGTTACTTTCAAAAAAACTTTTTCAAAAATATAGCCAAAAATTAATGAAATTCTAATAAATCACAAGTCGGTTATTTCTATAATCACAAACATACAAGAATCCATCTTTATCAAATGCTAATCCTTTTGGATGATAAAACTGACCAATATCACTGCCTTTACAACCAAACTTACTAACAAATACACCATCACTAGTGAAGACTGATATACGATTATTGCCTAATTCACTAACATAAACTAGACTAGTAGCTGCAGTGTCAATTGTTAAACAATATGGACTATCGAGTTGTCCAGGACCAGATCCTTCCGTACCAAACTTACCCACAAACTTTCCATCTGGAGAGAACTTTTGAATGCGATGATTCCAACAATCAGCAACATACACTAATCCTTGACTATCAATGGCAATGCCATGTGGATAGTCAAACTCTCCATTAGCTGATCCTTTACTACCAAAAGAAAGAGAGAAGGTTAGGTCAGGATTAAAGACTTGTACACGATCATTATCCTTATCAGCAATATAAACCTGTCCGGATATCGGAGAAATGGCTATACCAACAGAATTACTAAATGGTAGTGGTCCACTGCCCTCCTGACCAACCGTTGCTATGCGGTATCCGTCCATGTTTATCTTCTGGATAACTTGTCTATCCGTTACAAGAATGAATTTGTCTGGAGTAATGGTTACACAACGAGGAGTAGAAAATTTGACATCACCACTCCCTTCTTCTCCTCCTAACGATTTCACTTTCTTCCTTTCTCTATCCAGTATTGTGACACAACTACCCCTATACTCGGCTATTATAAGATTATCATTATCACTTACAGCAACTCCCCAGGGACACTTAAGCTCAGTTACGGTACGTACTGGAGTGATGTTATCAAGGTAAGGATTGAACGGGATGACTAGTGAAGCATTTTTAAGTTGTACATCATATACTTGTACTTTTAATGTATGAGTACCATTTGTAGAAGGGCTACACTGTATCCTATACACTCCAGGATCAGTGCTGGTGGTAGTGACTGTAGTGCGAATGGGTTGATCACCTTTACCAACTGGTACTAGGCTACACCTCAGAGAAGAAAGGGGAGCAGACAAAAGAGATGAATCTGGCGCCTCTATTGATAGTGAAAATGAAATTGCTTTGCCAGCAGGTGAAATGCAATCAATCTTCTTTACTCTACACTGCTGTAGTGCAGTAGATGAATAGCTCACAATATCTCCAATGTGATGTAGTGATTTGATATCTTTACTCAATACAAAGTCAGCTTTTTCCTTTGGATATAACTCCTCCACATTGATCTCTGCAGTAACACCATTCATACGCTCCATCATCTGTTTCTTAGACCTCAGGACTTGTTGAGGACTGCCTGTCTTCAGACTCTGTTCCACATAATTCTCAACATCCTCCAAAAGACTCAAACTCATTTCTGCTGATTTGACCTGCTCTGACAGCACCTTTAGTTTAGCATCAGTGACCTTTCTTGCCTGCTCAGTCAGTTTCCTCTCTGACTGACGAAGAACATTCACCATTTCCTCAACCATGTTGTGTATTTCTTCTAAGACTCCTTCTCCTCTCTCTCTGATCTCACCCTCTCTCTCTGATAAAGCAGACATGACCTTCTTGAGTGCTTTAATTTTCCCTTTTACCAGGTTAAGAGAATCTTCCAAGTCTTGAGAGTGTTTAGTATAACTGGCAGAGACTAAGTCATACTCATGGCCTTTGTGAGTACCAATTGTACAGTCACGACATAAAACACTATCACATGTTTCACAGTAGAAATTCATTTTCTTGTTATGAGTGGAGCACGTAAGGGTTGCCTCCTGTTTTAATTGAGAAGTAGCCACCTCATCAAGACTTTTCAGCTGATGGTTAGCAAAAAGGGCCCATTTCTTGTGGGTAGAGATACATTCTGTACAAAGGAACTGACCACAGTCTTTGCAGTATCCAGTGGCATTAGCTGCATTACAGTTATTACAGGTGACCTGTTGAGGATCAGCTACTTTCTTCATTAAACTGTATATCTCCTTGAGGTTGATGAGGGTGAGTGCTACAGGAAAGGCTCCTGCTCCTTCTTCTGGTAACTCTGTACAATGACGACAAGTGGGACAAGAGAGGTAATAGGTCTCATTCTTTTTATCCAAAGGTAATGCCTCCAGACAGTGCTCACAGAATGAATGTAGACAAGGTAAAATCTTAGGGTTGGTATAGTGGCCAAGACATACAGGACAGGTGAGCTGTTCCTCCAATTTGAGGAGACCAGGAGACGATGGTTTTGTTGCCATTGAAAACAATTGTGTACATATAAAGCAAGAATAACAGATTAAGACACCCCTGGTAAGTAGAGCGCCACTAGCCCTAGCTGATGACCAGTTGACCACAAAGGAAGTTATAGGTTATATGTCTACACCATATTAGAATTCTTTGAATTTCATTAGCATCCAAGTTGTAAATATTTAAAATTGCTTTTCTATTATATCATTTATAATGTATATCTGGAAATTCTTACATGACATTTATTTCATGAGTTGAGAAATTTATTATTCAATACAACTAAGCATTTGTGATACTCACTGTCTAATTATCCTTCTCTTATTTCTCACTTCTTCTCTCCCTCTCTCTCCCATCTCTTTTCATACCCACAGTAGCTCTTGAAGGACATTAATAGTTATCAGATAAATATAATAAATGTAATAAATATTGGTGTGATCTTGGAGCCAATCTAAAATCGCCATAACTTGAAAAAAGATTTAATCAGAATTGGTTCAAACTTTCTACATAAGGACATCAGTATGTATTAGAAAAATTGGGAATTATTTTGGAGCCATTTTTGAAAAAAAAAAGCATGGGCATGGTACAGGGTATTTTTCAAAAATCGGCATATCTCTTAAAGTGGCTGCAAATCAAAAAATTTTAGTTTGAATTGGAATCAGCTCAAACTTTCTACATAACATAAAGACATCAAAAAATGTAATAAAAATTAGGAGTGATTTTGGAGCCATTTTTTTAGAAATAAGCATATGGGCATAGTGACGTACCCCCATCAGATACTGATACAAAGTATGGCAAGACTATACACAGTAATACTGTACTTACAGAAAATTGTACTTCCACATTCTTCAATGAGTCAAACTACTTGACATACCCGGTACCAGACCCAAAATTAAGCTCACTCAACTGCCTTGAATAATAAGGCTACGTCTGGTTGACTTGGAAAAAGCTACACTACAGGAAAAACAGAATAAAGAAGGGGAAAACAGACAATGATAAAAAGTGCTTTATAATGCTAAGTGAGTCTCCTAACACTGATGGAAACTCCCAATCACTGTACCTTTCATTACAGAAGTTGGTAGGCTAATTTGGCCATGTTGTGCCACGTGACTACGCATGCGCAGTTTAAAACCCCCTATAAAATGGGATTTTTTAAAATTAATAATACAAAATTAAAAAAAAAAAGAAAAATAACCCACTTCACTCAAATACTAATGTTTCTTTTATAATGTCAGACATCTGTTTGTAGTTATACTGACTCTCTTTTCTCAAATGCTTGCTCTCTTTATTAAAAGCTGTCATTAAAGATCTTGTTCTCTTTTCCTGCAGCCCTCTTGAATTCCCCTCTCTCTTTCTTTTCCTTCTTGCTGTAGTTGCTGAAGTTGTTGTTCTTTTTCTTGAAGCTGTTGCTGTAGTCTGTTTCTAATTTGTTCCTTTTTTCTTCTCTCCTCTTGTAGTTCCCTTTCCTTTTCTTCCAGCAGACGTCTCAGACGGTCTATTTCTCTTTTATCCTCAAGATGAACAGGCTGAGATACTTCCCATTCTCTTCTCCTTTCTTGTAGTTTCTCTTGATACTGGTCCAGAGGTATTTCACTAGTAGACCAATCATTATTACTAGTATATTCTATAAAAAATAATTTAATATCAGTTACTCCAAATTAGTTTATAATATTCATTGTGTCAACAACTTTGTTTTTACATGTACATGTACTTACTGAGTTCAAAAACTGCTATATCTCTGTATGATGTGTGTCCTCCAAACACAATCATCCAGCTAGTGGTTGGGGTCACACTCCAGGCTGAGAGAGAATGAAAGCATCTCCAAATGATGTTTTTTGGCAAATTAGACTACAAAAAATCACATGACAATAATAATAATAATAAAATAAAAATAATGTAATAATAATACTAGAAGACTATAAAGTTATAAGGGTTTCACCCTTACCACACTGTACAAACAAATGAACACCTAATGTATTTTAATGTACTTCACCTAATGTACTTACCAGTTTCTTCCATGATTTATTGTTGATGTCAAGTATCCAGCAATCGTAAGTGAGAAACCCACCCAAGACTAGTAGGTGTGGTCCCGAGCTAGTGTCAATCAGAACACTGGAATGAGATTGTCTAGTCTCAGGCCACTGCATACATATACATAATCTAGGATCAGATATCTTTGAACAATTCTAAAATAATAAATAAATTATACATATTCATCAAAATAATATATACAATACACTCACCACTGATGTATCAGTGAAATTAAGAATATATACATTGTTACTGACTCCATTAGCAGCGAGACCTCCAAACAAAATAGCACTGGAATTATTAATTGATGTTAGAGTGAAGGCATAAGTAGGAGGTGGTCTGTCTCCAGTGACAGTTGGTGATATCCACTGACCTAATAAAGCAGTATAATATGGAATTAAAAATTTTATGTGCTCTGACCTTTTGAGAGTTTAAAGAAGTGGATCTCATTGCATTTTTTATAAATAAACTCAAATACCCTGTACTGGGCACCAGGTTGGTTTGGAACATTATTAGATGGTCCACGCCCTCCAACTACTACAAGATAGTCTTCAGAATTAATCTTTATTGCCACCATATCAGAGAGGCTCTTCATCATAGGACCATGACAGGGAGTAGTAGGAGAGAGTTCCTTCCAGTCGAAGGTGTCAACATTAAAGCTAAATAAAATATTAAGTAATAATTAATTTATTAGAAAAAGTACGGCCCTATTACCAATGTCAAGGTAGCTATAGGGGGTACCAGAAAACGTAATAAAAATTGGTGGTGATTATATAAAGCCATTTTCTAGAAAAACCATGGGCTATAGCTAATGATTTATATTGAGAAAATCAAAAATTTACTCTGCAGGGTCAGAGTGGCCCTTCCAAAAATTTGATAGAAATTTAATTATCAATATCGTAGAAACTTGTTTCGACTTATACTAAACCAAGTGGTTTTATACACAGCTATTTGTTAAAGGCTATCATGGGTTGCATGAAAATGTGGTTAACACTTCTGTACTTGTGTAAACTACATTGGCCAATTTTAAAAAAATGTTCATAACTTTAAAAATTTAAGTCGGAATCAGTTCAAACTTTCTACACAGCATTAAGACATCAATATGCATCAAAAAATGTAATAAAAAGTGGAGGTGATTTCGAAGCCATTTTTAGAAAAAACCATGGGCTATATATAGCCTTGGGTATTTTTCGAAAATTGGCCAATTTTAAAAAATGGTCATAACTTGAAAAATATTTGTGGGAATCAGCTCAAACTTTTTTTACACAGCATTAGGACATCAATATGCATTTAAAAATGTAATAAAAAGTGGGGGTGATTTTGGAGGCATTTTTTAGAAAAAAACATGGGCTATAGCCTTGGGTATTTTTCAAAAATTGGCCAATTTTAAAAAATGGTCATAATTTGAAAAATATTTGTGGGAATCAGCTCAAACTTTCTACACAGCATTAGGACATCAATATGCATTTTAAAATGTAATAAAAATTGGGGGTGATTTCAGAGCCATTTTTTGGAAAAAACCATGGGCTATAGCCTTGGGTAATTTTCAGAAGGACATCAATATGCATCAGAAAATATAAGAAAAAAATTGGGGATGATTCCGGAGCCATTTTTAAAAATTATAAATGTTGCTCTTATAACTAACAATCAAACAAAAGGCAAACATATTTTAAGGTATCTGAGAGACTCTTGATTATTATAAGAAAGAGCTTAATCCAAGGAGCTAATTGGTTTTACAGTAAAAACTAGTTGATTCATCAGACAATAAGAAAACAATCATACAACTATTGCTATATTAAAGAATACCCATGCAGTACCACATATAATCTTGCCTGCAGAAGTGAGAAACACAGATGTAAAATCTGATTAATTATTTAAAAATTTTCAATACAGCCAAACAGGGGGAGGTTAATAGGCATATAATACTTACCTGTATAAACTATTATGAAAACAATCATTGTGGTTACAATGGCCTCCAAAATAAAAAATCTCATTTCCAATTGGAGCAGCGGCATAGGTAATGACACCCAGTGGAGGGTTACCAGTGGTGAGTTTTTGTTCCCACCTACCAGTTGATAAATGGCACACGTCCATTACTGAGCTTTTTGACTTCTTCTCTTCATTATTGTGTACTTTAGGGAGACCAGACCCACCCCACATATACAGGTAGTCTCCTACCTTTACTGTGGAGTGTCTACTTCTCTCCACTGGTTGATAGTCTATAGAGAACAAGAGGTACCAGTAACTGAAGCATAAACAAGTCAAAATCAATTATATATATACTGACCTTTTCCTTTTGCTGCCATTGCAGATTTAAATATTTATTTCAGTTAATTAGATAGTTATCAGTTATTGTAATCAGCTGTCTGTAGTACTATATTTCCTTTAAAATGTGACAGTTAATAATGACGATAAAAGGATGCTAGCATGGTCCATTTCCCTAATCTTCATGTCACCAATTGATAAAAGTAAGGATAATATTTAAAATTAAAAATCATTACTAAACTCAAGGGGGTAGATCTATAGCCCTAGGTCAAAAGTCATCTATGTGCAATGTATGTCACACTTTAATTTTAATTATACTCACTCTACCAGGGAAGCAAATAATTAAGATGACTAACTTAACTAAATAATAATTATTGACAAACTAAAGTAATAAACAATTCAAAAATTAATCTAATAAACAACAAGTCGGCAATTTGCGTAGTCACAAACATACAGGAATCCATCTTTAGAAATTGCTAATTGACAGGGATTACAAAACTGATCAATTCCCCTTCCTTTCCTTCCAAAATAACGCAAAAACACACCATCACTAGTAAAAATTGAGATACGATTATTGCCCCTTTCACTAACATACACCAGACCAGTAGCTGCAGTGTCTATTGCTATGCCTAGTGGCTCATTAAGCTGTCCAGGACCAAATCCTTTAGTACCAAACTCACCCACAAAGTTTCCATCTGGAAAGAACATCTGAATGCGATGGCTATAAGTATCAGTGACATATACTAATCCTTGACTGTCGATGGCAATGCCATGTGGAGACTTAAACTGTCCATTAGCTGATCCTTCACTACCAAAGAAATAAGAGAAAGATAGATCAGGGTTCAAGACTTGTATACGATCATTATACCTATCAGCAACATAAATTTGCCCTGTTACAGGTGAAATGGCTATACCGGCAGGATATCTAAATTGTAGTGGTCCACTTCCCTCCTCACCAGCTAACGTTATGCGGTGTCCATCCATGCTTATCTTCTGGATTCTATGATTATCAGACACAAGAATGAACTTGTCTGGAGTAATGGCTACACCACGAGGAGAAGAAAACTTGACATCGCCACTTCCTCCTTCCCCTCCTAATAATTTTACTTCATTTCTTTCTTTATCAATTATTGTTACACACTGACTATCCCATTCAGTTATCATAACATGATTATCGTCGATTATAGCCACTCCATAGGGACACCTCAGTAGCTTATTAACGAAATATACTGGAGTGATGTCATTAAGATACGGATTAAAAGGGACAACTAGAGAGGTATCTTCAAGATGTACATCATATACTTGTACTTTTACTGTGTGAATACCACGAGAAGGGATACACTGTATCCTATACACTCCAGGATCAGTGCTGGTGGTAGTGACTGTAGTGTGAATGGGTTGATCATCTTTAGCAACACTACACCTCAGAGAAGAGAGAGAAATAGACAAAAGAGATGAATCTGGTGCCTCTACTGATAGTGAAAATGACACACTTTTTTGTTTTAGTAACCACTCAAAGTAGCCAATTTTTGTTTTGTATTGTGTTAGAGAAATAACATCTCCAATGTGATGTAGTGATTTGACATCTTTAATCAACACTAAGTCAGCCTTTTCCTTTGGATGTAACTCCTCCACATTGATTCCTGCAGTAACTTCACTCATACGCTCCATCATCTGTTTCTTAGACATCAGGACTTGTTGAGGACTGCCTGTTTTCAGACTCTGTTCCACATAATTCATAACATCCTCCACAAGGTTTAAACTCTTCTCTGCTGATTCCTTTTGCTCTGACAGCACCTTTAGTCTAGCATCAGTGACCCTCTTTGCCTGCTCAGTCAGTTTCCTCTCTGACTGACGAAGAACATTCACCATTTCCTCTACCATTTCATGTATTTCTTCTAAGACTCCTTCTCCTCTCTCTCTGATCTCACCCTCTCTCTCTGCTAGAGCAGACAGGACCTTCTTGAGCGCTTCCTTCTTTCCCTCAACTGGTAATAGACATCTTCTTAATTTTTGACAGTGTTTAGCATACTTTTCAGTGATCAAGTCACAATTATGGCGTCTGTGATCATCAAATTGACAGGTAACACAAATTGCTGCATCACATGTTTCACAGAATAGCTCCAAAGGCTTACCATGATCATCACATGTGACCTCTTGAGGATTAGGCACTGTTGTCGACCTGTTTAGTAAACTTTGCATCTCTTTGAGGTTGTTGAGGTGGAATGCTACAGGAAAGGCTCCTACTCCTTCTTCTGGTAGTTCTGTATGTTGACGACAAGTGGGACAGGAGAGGTAATAGGTCTCATTCTTCTTATCCAGTGGTAATCCCTCTAGACAGTGCTCACAGAATGAATGAAGACAAGGTAAAGCCTTAGGGTTGGTATAGTGGTCAAGGCACACAGGGCAGGTGAGCTGTTCCTCCAGTTTGAGGAGACCAGGAGCAGGTGAAGGTGGTTGGTTTTCCATTTCAAAAAAATTATAAAATAATGTATGCAAAAGATGTAAATAAAGATAAAGCAAAGAAAAATGATAAAAAATGAAGAAGTCCAAACAAAAACAAAGTAGAAAGACAGGAAACAGGAGGAGAGAAATGGAAGACAGTGAGTTATCTTGATACGAAAAACAAGAACAATGAAAAGGAGGAGGAGAGAAAGGCTATAGGGGTACTGTGAGTTTAGACTGGGTATACCTCATAAGTATATTCAAAGGTCTTGTGACTAAAAGAAATTATGATAGTACTGTCTTTTGGCTTCACAGTAGGGGAACAACTATAAATAATTTATCAATTTATGAACTGAGTGACAAAGATAATGTCATTTTAATGAATATTCATAGAGCATGAATGAGTAAGTGGCTAAGTGCCATAGTCTGGTCCAGTCTCTCACCCCTGTGTGATAAAGAGGCAGGACCAGACAAAGTGAATTTGTGGGTTTAAAATTTTGTATTCGGATTGTGTTTTTCATGCAATTTTTTCAAGCCACAAAATTTTTGAATAGCAATTCAGTACCACATAAAATGTTGAGATAAAATATATGTACCTTAATTGAAAGTCTTGTTATGTTACAATCTTTCGAATTAATCCTAAACACTTCTATCTATACATGTATCTATCAGAGGAATCCTTCTCCCAACTCTAAAAAAAAACAGAAAAAGAGATCAAAACAATTTTAGAGTATAAATATGCATCTGAAAGATAGGAAAATATTATCCATTATATCTTAATGCACCAGTCCTGGGATCAAGGTTTCTGAAAGGTCAACTCAACAAAGTACATGTATATACATGTAGGAGTACAGAAGGGGCCTGCATACAAAGTTAAATTAAGTAGAATTAAAATTAAAAAAATGAAATAGCATCAAATAAGTGAAAATACCACTTCAATGTACACACACTAAATAAGTTGTGTATTAATTGAAGATTTTGCTTGAAACATATTTTATCATGCATAATGTATTGCAGTCATAACAATTGAATGAATACTCCTGCCGCATCATCAGCAAAGCTAAAAAAACTTAAAAGCATTAGAATAGAAGTGCGGTACACAGATTTATTACTTTCTTTATTAAATTCAAAATTTCTTCAAATGAAAATAATAATCAATAAGAAGGTAGCAAAAATACATGGGGATTAAATTTTTTTAGCTAAATAAATATTAAATGGTGATTATTATGAGTCACAAATGCACAAAAAGCTTAAATACAATTATACTAATCTATATGGATCACTAAATTGATCTATTTCTTTTCCTTTCCCCATACAAACATGCCATTACTAGTAGAGATTAAGATACAATTACTACACATTTCACTAAAATACACTAGACCAGTCATTGCAGTATCTATTGTTATGCAAACTGGCTTAATAAGCTGTCCAAGGCCACCTCTAGTAGCAAACTGACTAATAAACTTTCCATTTGGAGAAAACTCCTGAATGTTATGATTACCAAAATCAGTGACATAATACTAATCCTTGACTGTCAATAGCAATGTCATTTGGACACTTGCATGAGCTTTCCATTAGCTGATCTTTCACTACCAAATGAATGAGAGAAAGATTCAAGACTTGTATACAATGATTTTATTTACTTATTTGACTTTGTTTTGTTGCACAAAGAATTATTACACAAAAATCATTTAATAAACAATGAGTCGTTTATTACTATGATCACAAATATACAAAAATCCATCTTTATCAAATTTATTTTATTAACAGCTAATCCAGAAGGATGCTTAAAATTTTCCAAAAACCTGCCTCCTTTACATCCAAAGCTATTAACAAATACACCATCACCAGTAAAAACTGAGACTGAATGATTCCCCCACTCACTAACATGCACTAAGTCACCAGTAGCTACAGTGTCTATTGCTATACCCACTGAATTCGGTGCTTGAGTATCAAACTGATATCTGTACCTGATGCACGGCCTATTTTCCTGTGGAGAGAATTTTTGAATGCGATAGTTGTTACGATCAGCAACATACACTAATCCTTGGCTGTTAATAGCAATGTCACGTGGAGCCTTAAACTGTCCAGGGAGTGATCCTCTACTACCAAATGAATCATAAAAGGTTAGATCAGAATTCAAGACTTGTATGCGGTTATTATAATAATCAGCAACATAAACATATCCTGTTATAGGAGAAATGGCTATACCAGAAGGAGAATTGAATTGTAGTGATCCACTGCCCTCTTCCCCAAATGAAGCTATAAGGTATCCATCCATGCTTATTTTCTAGATCCTGTGATCATCAGACACAAGAATGAAGTTGTCTGGAGTAATGGCTATACCACGAGGATGAGAAAACTTAACATCACCACTTCCTCCTTCCCCTCCCAGTGACTTTACTTTATTTCCCATTCTATCCCTTATTGTTACAGTGTTACCCCAAAACTCGGTTATTATAATGTGATTATCATCAGTTACAGCAACTCCCCATGGGCAGTTAAACCCAGATATAGAACGCACTGCAGTGATGTTATCAAAGTAAGGATTGAAAGGGATGACTAGTGAGATATCCTCAAGTGGTACATCATCTATTTCTACTTTGACTGTGTGGGTACCACATTTTGAAGGGTTACACTGTATCCTATACACTCCAGGATCAGTGCTGGTGGTAGTGACTGTAGTGTGAATGGGTTGATCACATTTACCAACTGGTACTAGACTACACTTCAGAGAAGAGAGGGGAGCAGACAAAAGAGATGAATCAGGTGCCTCCATTGATAAAGAAAATGAAACTACTTTACCAGCAGGTGTAATATGATCAATTTTTTTCACTCTACACTGTGGTATTGAGACAATATCTCCAATGTGATGCAATGATTTTATATCTTTATGGGATTTATGGAACACAAAGTCAACCTTTTCCTTTGGATGCAACTCCTCCACATTGATCTGTGCTGTAACTTCACTAATGAGCTCTATCATTTGTTTCTTGTACATCACAAATTGTCGAAAACCTCCTGTCTTCAGACTCTGTTCCACATAATCCTCAACATCCTCCAGAAGACTCAAACTCTTTTCTGCTGATTTCATTTGCTCTGACAGCACCTTTAGTTTAATATTAGTGACCCTCTTTGCCTGCTCAATCAGCTTCCTTTCTGACTGACGAAAGACATTTGTTATTGTTTTATGTATTTCTTCTAAGACTCCTTCTCCTCTCTCTCTGACCTTACCCTCTCTCTCTGCTAAAGCAGAAAGGGCCATCTTAAGTGCTTCAATTTTCTCTTTTACTGGATTAAGAGAATTTTCCAATGCTTCTCTGTGTTTAGTGAAACTACATGTATCAGCTATTAGGTTATACTTGTGATCTTTATTAGTGAGTATAGCACAATCAAGACAGATTGATTCATCGCATGTATCACAGTAATACATCAATGGCTCATCATGACTTGGTACAGAGCAAGTGAGGGATGGTTCCTGTTTGGCCAAGGCTAGCAACTGAGAAGCCGAAGAGACAGAGGCTTTTTCTTCATCAAGACGTTGATGGTAAGCAAAAGGAGCCCAACACTTGTGAATGTCCATGCACTTTTGACAAAGAAATTTACTGCAGTCTTTGCAGTATCCAGTGGCATTAGCTGAAATACCTGTACAGTTGTCACAGGTGACCTGTTGAGAATCAGCTACTTTCTTCATTACACTGTATATCTCTTTGAGGTTGATGAGAGTGAATGCTACAGGAAAGGCTCCTACTCCTTTTTCTGGTAACTTTGTGTCACAACGACAAGTAGGACAAGAGAGGTAATAGGTCTCATTCTTCTTATCGAGAAGTAATCCCTCTAGACAATGCTGACAGAATGAATGTAGACAAGGTAAAGTCTTAGGATTGGTATAGTGGTCAAGGCAGACAGGACAGTTGAGCTGTTCCTCCAGTTTGAGGAGACCAGGAGAAAAAAAAGAAGACGGTTTGGTTGCCATTTCAGATCTTATAGGTAAGAGACAAATTGAAACAAAATTAAGAAAGGTCAAAAGACTATGCAAAAACAGCAAAATTAGATCTAACTGACCCCAAAGGTCTTGTGACCAAAAGAAGATATGATAGTGTGGTGAATTATGATGACTATGCTAATAGATTGGCTATAAATAGAATTTGTAAGCACTTAAAGGTCATGAACATGTGAAATTGCTAAAATAATTTTAATAAAGTGAATTCCATGGCTAAACAAGAATGTAAATAGAAAGCAATGCAAAAAATGAGACGAGACAATATATGGCTCTGATGTTAACTTTCAATGTTCAACTGTAGCATTACTAAAGGAAGCTAAAGAAATCCTCTAAAATAGAGCACAATAGCCCATAGCGTTGCTGGGTCAATAGTGACTACATTCTTTACAATAGACTAAAAATAACAACCATTAGTAACACTATACATGCTTGTACTTGTACGAGTAATTCCTTCATAAAAACATGGTACATCTAGTATGTGCACCCCATGCAAAACCACAAAAGTAACTTGCTATATATACTGTATTTTTTTAATTTCAAGGTCAGGTTATTGAACTTAAAATGTATTGAATTTAAAACAAGGGCTACATGTATATTAGCTATTGAATAAAATACCCTGTACAACAATAACATAACAGCATCTATTGATACAATGATCTGCTGTCAATACGGCATTCATGCAATTAATTACTAAAAAATATGATTATTATTACAGATTAGTAGCCACTACCAATGATGCAATTAAAATCATCAGAGTTGATTGTAATTATTTTGCAATTAAAATCAACTGATTCATTTTCTCAGGGTATTGCATTAATATTCAAGTTTAGCCTAAAGTTGCTAAAAAATTAGGTCAAATTTGCCAAAAATGACAAAATGAAAATTTTTAATTTCTATTTTTTTGATACATGTACATGTTCTTATGCTATTCTTAGCATGCTTTGTCTAAGTACTACAGATCAAAAAATTAATAAATAATACAGCAAAATATCTCAATAAACAACAATTCGGGTATTACTATAATCACAGACATACAAGAATCCATCTTTATCAAATGCTAAACCATAAGGAGCATTAAACTGATCAATGTTACTGCCTTTGCTTCCAAAGCTATTGACAAAGACGCCCTTATTGGTAAAGACAGAGATACAATTATTAGCCCATTCCACGACATATACTAGGCCAGAAGCTCCAGTGTCTATTGCTATACCATGAGGCCCAATTAGCTGACCAGGGCCAGAACCTCTGATGCCAAGCTTGTCCAAAAACTGTCCATCTGACGAGAACTTCTAAAATGCAATGGTTCTTAAAATCAGTCACATATACAAACTCTTGATTATCAATATCAATGCCTACAGGGTATGAAAACTGTCCATTAGCTGATCCTTCACTGCCAAACGAATGAGAGAAGGTTAGGTCAGGATGATTACTCTTATCAGCAACATAAACCTGGCCTGTTATTGGAGAAATGGCTATACCATATGGAGTATTAAATTGTAATGGTCCATTACCCTCCTCACCAACTGATGCTATGCGGTTCCATCCATGCTTATCTTCTGGATCCTGTCATTGTCAGACACAAGAATGAGTTTATCTGAGTTTATTTGAAGGGTCCTCTTTAAAAACCTCACTGTATTCATTTGACTCCACAAATGTCATTTCATGACATGAAATGACATTCACATGTGAAAGAAGAATTGCTTGCATTCTTACTACTAGTTGATTTTGAGGTATAGGAACAGGAGCCTTAAAGAGGGATGGAAAAAGAAACTGTTATTAATTCAAATCAATTTTGAAGTCTTTCAAATAAAAAAAAATATTATTCATTAATGGCTCCATACAAAATAAAAATACCAGTGCAGGTATTTTTAAAATTTGAAAAATTAATTAAAATTTATTTGTTGTTGCATTGGCCTCAATAAACAAAACAATTTTTTGTTTACATGACTATAATGTACACTTTCAAAAATAATAAATAACAAGTTTTCAGCATGAATTAATAATACACATAGTTCTGATATAGCTTATGGCAAGATCGTCCGTTGTGCATATGTCAAAGTTATAAAAAACATTATGACAGTTTGTCAACTTAAACTAAGTCATTTCTTATAAAAAAGAATTTTCATTCACAACAAAAGAATCATGGTAGAAGTATTGAGTATAGAATACTGCAAGCAGTTGCTCCAAAATAAGAGTGCTTCACCAACACGACAAGATTATGTAAATATACTGGATTCAGTGACTGTACATATCCAGAGCTCTGATATTGCATTGCAAGCAGAAGATGTTGCTGTAATTGTTGAAGCACTGAAGGAGCCAATAAAATGTTTATTTAACACTATTGATACCTTAGAAAAAGATTTGGAAGATTTAAATAAGAAGTATGAAACACTGAAAGAGCTTGAATCTGCTTTGATAAGTGGACAAATTGCTTCAGATCTTGAAAAAAAAATTCTTCAAATTATACTACAGGGCACAAGTGTATCCCTGGAGTATGCCACTTTGATCAAACTCGAAAATGCTTTGAATGAGACGCTAGGACAGCGTCGTACAGGAATGCAATTATCAGATGAGGATAAAAGGATTGCCAAAGAAAACTGGGATCGTTTGGAAAGGGAGGTACATTTGGAAAATGAAGTGTACCTTGCTATTGATAAATTAAAGCAATCCAGGAATTCCAAAGCCCACCCTAAGGTTAATTATGATACAATACGTAACCATCTTGCAAAACTTGAAGGAGACCATAAAAAGCAGATTGAAAAAATGTTTCGAGTTATAAGAGAATTGGATTGTCGTAATCAATGAGACGATCAATTTTGAAACTTTTTTACTTTTGTCATTAATAATTGTTGATAGTTGTTTTACTATATTTTTGTAGCTATTATACAGTCACCAATTAATTTTGTTAATACTAATAAATAATTCACAAATATCAACAAAAGTGTACAAGTTACAAAAGTTTCAGTAGAACGGAACCTGATAGCATTGACAAAGGTAGAGCACTTGTGAAGAAACTCACAGATGTGTCATTTATGAGGCTTAATTGTTTTGTCTAAGTTACTATAGATGCATGAATTGGATCAGCAGATTTATGTAAAGAACAAAGATCAGAATGGACGGATCCAGTCAAAAAACAGCTTTTTAATATCTACAATGTCAGTAACTTTTATTAGGCCTAAGATGATGGTGGTCTGCATTGGTAGAGGCACAAAATTCATTCTCAAAATCTCAAGTCAACAACTTGTTTCAAAAGTGACTTCAAAGGGAGAGAAAAATTTTTTTACTATAAAC